AAGCCCACTTTCAGATGTAGATCTTGTATAAATCATTCCCACTGGAAGTCTAACAAATTACCAGCAACTAGAACCAGGCAACTTTAGGCATTTGTTTCCTAAACTCTTCAGAAGAGTCCTGAGTCAACCTGGTATATATCTGGAGATATTCACATCCAGTCCTGCAAAGATCTCTACTGGAAAGAGAAGAAATAGAACATGTGACCTCTAGACAGAGTTTGCACAGGGGGAGAGAAAACTAGAATTATTCGAGGCGACTTCAAAGAGTCTATGGAAAAAAACAGAATTGAAAGATATTGCAAGCTAGGCATCTGATGCAGTAGTTAAGATGGTACCACGAATTAGACCTTGCCATTATCACAGTGCCTGGGTTCCAGTCCTGGCTCCAGTTCCAACTTCACCTTCCTGCTAATATGCACCCTGGGAGGTAGCAGGTGACAGCTCAAATAGATGGGCTCCCCTCATGGGAGACATGTATGAAGTTTCAGACTCTTGGCTTCAGCCTGACTCAGTCCCAGCTACTGTGGGCATCTGTGGAATGAGCCAGTGGCTGGGAGATTTCGGTGTCTGTCTCTTCTCTCAATTAACTTTTAAAAAAAAATTAAGATATCATGAATTTTCCATGAACTTTCTAAGAGTTACCTGTAATGTACTGAACAGATAAACATGTTTAGTCCTATGCTGGACACTTTCATGTATCATATCATCTCATTTAGTCCTCACACTTGCTCAGTAAAAATGTCCCCATTTTCTGCCCCTTTTTTTTAATTATACAGTTCCATAGGCTCTGGAATTTCCCTTGCCCCCTACCCAAGTCCCCTCTCCCACAATGATCCCCCTCTCATCCCATTACAGTAGTATAGTCTTTCATAAACAGTCATATATCGGTCAGTCTGCTCTTTAAGTGTATCCTTATATTGCAGGTACGGACAATGGCAGAGAGTCTATCATCCTATTGTCAAGATATAATTAACATGTTCATTGGGAATCCATCTTTGCTTTGGAAACAGAGATGCATACTGCATTGTATCTTCATATCTGGATGTGATAGTCCCTATTATACAGTGCCCATTTTCCTAAGGAGGAAATAAACTCAAAGAAGTTTATTCACTTGTCCAATATAAACTGAGTATCTACATCATATGTGCCAATTATTTTACTAAAAGCCCTAGTTCAATGGTTAGCAAAGCCAACCATGGTTTCTGTGCTTAGGGTACTCATTTTCATGGTCTAACAGAGGTAGAATTAGTCAAACAATCCCACAAAAAGTTGCAAAAGGAAGAAATCTATCCTGTGTTGGGAATGGATAAGAGCAGAAAATGACCAGACAACCAAAACAGTGACAATAAAGATGGAGAGATGGGGAGCAGCCCACCACCACACCATCAATAACATTGACAGAGCTGAGAGTTAAACTTCAATCTGTCTGACATCAAAGCATGGTTTTCTTTCTGCTTTGCATGTCTTTATTCACCAAGCAAGTAGCTATTGATCATGCACTATGATTACGCCAGGTGCTAAGGACACAGCCATTAAAAAGGAGATATTACCATGGCCTGGCGCAGTGGCCTAGCGGCTAAAGTCCTCACTTTGAATGCACAGGGACCCCATAGGGGCGCCGGTTCTAATCTCAGCGGCCCCGCTTCGCATCCAGTTCCCTGCTTGTGGCCTAGGAAAGCAGTCAAGGACAGCCCAAAGCCTTGGGACCCTGCACCCACATGGGAGACCCGGAAGAGCTCCTGGCTCCCAGTTTCAGATCGGCACAATACCAGCTGTTGTGGTCACTTGGGAAGTCAATCATCGGACGATCTTCCTCTCTGTCTCTCCTTCTCTCTGTATATCTAACTTTGCAATAAAAATAAATAAATCTTTTAAAAAAAGCAGATATTGCTAGGCCCAGTGGCTAAATCCTTGACTTGCACATGCCAAGGTCCCATATTGGTGCCAATTCATGTCCCAGCTGCTCCACTTCCCATCCAGCTCACTACCTTGGAAAGTAGCAGAGGCTGTGGAATCCTGCATGCACAGGGAGATCAAAAGGAAGTTCTGGCTCCTGGCTTCAGATCAGCTCACCTCTGGTCCTTGTGGCCACTTGGGGAGTGAACCAGTGGGTGGGAGATCTTTGCCTCTTACTCTCTATAAATCTGTCTTTCCAATAAAAATAAATAAGTCTTTAAAATAATAAAAACAGACATTGCTATCACAAGATGCACAGAACAAACATTAAATACGAATACAAGTAGATGTGTATGAATACAAATTGGAATGAGTCTCAGAAAGGATCATTTTATCAGGTATAGTTACCTATGTGGCCACTTCTAAATTGTTGATAATATATGAATCACCTGTATACTAAATGTGAATGGAAGCCTTTAGGAAAGTTGTCAGAATGGGTTATAGAGGAGCTCTGGCCATCTCATGAGCTCACAGGGCAGTAGTTAGTGTGTCTCAAGTTCAGCAAAGGCTTTTCTGAAATGAACGTCTTTCTAAAAGCAACTACCAACCACTTAATTTACTTAATCCAAGCTCAAACATTGCTTATCAGTCGGCATCTTTCACACAGATTCATTCATTAGAACCTCACAGCAGCACTGTATAGAATGGAAGCAAATTGCAGTATTCTTTCTCAGAGATGAGGAAATGGAGGCCTAAACAGGTGAAGTGACTTAATCAAGGTCACCACACCAGGTAAGACCCAGATCTTCCACAAAGTGCCTCCAGCCAGGAAATCATGAATCTCAGAGGAGACAGCTGCAGGTCATTGAGCCTGCATAAAGTCACCCAGGAGTCCCATGAAGTTCCTGAGAACAATGATCAGGGACATTAAGCAGCTTGGGAAAGGTTTCTAGAATGCAATGCCACCAGCCTGAGACACCGATACCCTTGCCAACTCTCCCAGATTAGAACAGGTTCTCTTGGACTCTCTCCAAGTACCTCTGACTAACAGAGAAAAGTATTTTTCCATTGCAAACACTGCAGACAGGCACCAAATTCCTGAGATGGGAGAGCAGACAACACATCCCATTTTTCCATATAGACAACATGTAAAGTTATTCTGATACCAGGTGACTGTGCTAGCGAGGCACCAGCCACTGGGGTGTCAGGCATGTACAGCATTTCAATCCTGATACAACTAACATTTGAGGTGGATAATTTTCTGCTGTGGCAGCATCCCTGGCCTCTACTCACTAGAAGCTAGGAGCACTCCCCTATCCCGTTGTTAACAGTCAAATTCGTCCTTCTAGCCATTGAAAATATAACCTGGGAAACAAGATCATCTCTGGTCGAGAATCACCTAGTCTACAGACTATGAAGAAGAGAAAAAAATACAGTGTTCTCTCTCTCTCTCTTGTTCTTCTCTTTCTGGCCAAATGGAGGATTACTATCACATAATTGATGCATCCCAAAATGGGCAGCATGTATGCTGATGTGGCTTGCAAGTGTATCCCAGGGACATTCACCACTGAAGCTTGTGAAAACAACTGGTCAAATAACTCCCTGTTTCACTGACGAGTGCTTCTGACCCTGTGAGGAAACCTTGTTTCCACTAATGTGAACAGTGAGTCTGATGAAATGAAACCCTGGGTGCTTCTTCCTCCTGACAGTGAGCTGGGGCAAGGGCTTCCATTGCTGCTAGAAACAACATAAAGCTGGTGAATCTTAGACTTAAGCATATCTACACATTCTAGTGAGAAGGCATGGTCATGTCTTTCCTCCTTCATTTTTCTTAAGGGGCTAGCACATTGTTCAACAGACAGCTAGTAAACACCTATCGGCTGGACTCCTGAATTCAAAGAGACAATCTGAAATCTTCTGCTCGTGAGCCAATGAGTTCTAAGAAAGAAGTGGTAAATTGTAGCTGTCTACCCTGCCTTCTGTGTGTTGCAGTGTGATCAGTCTCTTTTAACTAGAAATACTTTGACAAAGGAAAACTGAGTACATTCTCTGCTGAGCGGTAGAAGATAGAAAAAGAACAAGGTTGATACAACACTTCCATCACAGTTGTCTGGAGGAAAGGGCAGAGATTACACAAATAAACAGCTGTATGTTCACTGAGTCTCTTGAAAAGTCTTTTTAGATAACCCCACCATTCAAGAACTCTGAATCTCTTTGAGGAAAGTCATGATTCCGCCCCCACAACATGAATGATTTGGTTTCCTTACAGTATTCACTACAGAGATAACAGGGCAAGTTTAACATACACCTTTGTTTTACAGGCCTCTATCGCTAAATAATCATAAAATGTTTTAAAAGACCAATTTAAAACATTATAGATAGCAATGCTTACAAGTCTGTATTTGTATAAAAACGTGCAATAGATAAGTGCATAAATCTAAAAAAATAATTTTATAAAACCACTCTCAAGAACACAGTCAGGAATATGAAGGCTGGGAGAGCTGAAATGTCCTACAGGAAAGATGAAAACCAGATGAAGACTCAAGAGAAGATGACGACACCAAAAGCTGCACAGCAAGACATGTCAACATCTTAGGGAACAAAGGAAATGTCTGAACCAGTGTGTGTAGCCTATTAGGGCCAAGGTGTAAAGCAGAATACAATATCAGCTATGCTTCAAAATAATGATCCTGTCTCAGACCTGAGACACATGTACTGAACCTAACAGTTTGTGTAGCTTTTAATTTAGATTCAAGAGGAAATGCGAATAGAGTCAACACTTCAGCTATGACAAGGCCAGGACTCCCCAACAACCTGGACAAATTTCTAGGTAATATCTGCTGCAACAGAGTCCTTCTCCAAACCCTTAGGACCTGAAGAAGCTGTTATAACCCTATCTTATGGGGAGACAAACCTGTGATCCAAAGAGGAAAAAGCCCAAAGCCACAATCTGGCTGATGACAGAACTAGACCCTAGATCCTCCTCTTTGTAATCCTTACAGTTTTTCATCAATAAACATCCTTTATGTGATTAATTCATGGCTGTTTAGACAGCTGTCCCCCAGCTGCCCTCATCAACCATGAATTTTCTGATGCTGTCTCACCTGTTTGAGCCACCAGGTGTGTCCACCCACTCCAGATGGTAATGACTTTTTCATTCTGAAAACAGCACACTTCTATTTTATGAGGCACAGGAAGGAAAGCAGCCTGGGTAGCCAGTTGTCCATGCTTGTTGCTTCCCCAAACATACAGCTCTCCTGCATCTGAAACACAAAGACAGAGAACCAGAGGGGGAGGAACATTAGTTCAAATTGATGGAAAATAGTATGTCTGATAAAGTAGTGGTTAGAAGAGCCCATTTTGCACTTATACTACAATACAGAATAGAGCCAGGCAGATGTACAGCATAATAGCATACATGATTTTTTTAAAACCTATTCTTAGGAAACAGGCCAAATGTTCTTAGAAGTTTAAGGAATAAGCATATGTGATTACTCTTCATGTATGCACTCAATGACTATTCAATATTTACTATGCATGAAACATATTTTTCTTTTTTTTTTTTTAACATTTTAAAAACATTTGCTCACATTCACTTTTATTAGGAAATAACGTTTTAACTTATGATAATAGGTTAAAAGATAGGAGAGGACATCTGGCCTGCCAGTCAGGATGCTGACTGAGACACTCAAGTGCCATTTTGGAGAGCTCGAGTTTGATCCCTGGTTGATTCCTGATTCCAACTTTCTGTTTGAGATCTTGGAAGGCAGCACATGATGGTCCGAGCAGTCAGGTCCCTCCCACTCATGTACTCAAAGCAGACCAGCACTGAGTTTCTGCTTTCCAGCTTTGGACCTAGCCCAGGCGTTTAAGGACTTAATCAACAGATAAATGGGCTCACTTGTTCTTTCTCTCCTCTTTTCATTCTCTCTCCCTCTTGGATAAATAAGTATACATCATTTATATGTAAACATTTTTTAATTCAAGAGGCAGAGAGACAAAGAAAACTTCTATTAGTTCACTACCCTAATGTCCACAATAGCTAGGGTTCAGCCAGGCCAAAGCCAGGAGCCAGAAACTCAGCCTCGGTCTTCCATGTGGGTAGCAGAAATACAATCACTGGAACCATCACATTGTTTTTCCAGGATCTACATTAGTAGGAAAGTAAAGGCAGGAGCCAGAGCCAGATACAAACCTAGAAACTTCAATATGAGATGTGGGCATCATAGCCACTAGGTTAAGTTAAACATCTACCCTTTCCCTTGCCTTAAATTTTTTAAATATACAATTATTTCACTGCATGCTCTTGTTCAGCAGAAAATATAATGCAATTACATCACATGTGTGTGGCATTTCAGTTCATTTCAGCTTCACAGTAATCCTCAAATAGATGCAGGGATGTAACTGACATTGTGATTTTAATGGAAGGACAAATTCAGTCAAGTGGCTCTGACTTCCCTTCCTGGATCTGCTAACTACTGACCTTGGACACATCAATTCTTTTGCAAACCCTACCTTCACCAGCTGAAGCTTGTAAGAGAAAGCAATTGGCCTAGAAGGGCAGACAATGAAACTGATGACTGGTAACAAGAGTGACTGGCACGTTCCAGTGTGCAGACCAGAGAAGGCATTCAAGTTCAACATTTTTTAAATAAAAACCAAATGGGGCCATGGACTATCATTAGTCAGTGGGCTCAATTTGTGAAATATCAGAGAGGCTCTAAAGGATTTTTTTAATCCTAATATTCTATATTGTCCAATACAGTAATCACCAGCTGGCAATGGCTACTGAACACTTGAAATGTGGCTACTCCAAATTGAGATATGTCCCAAGTGAAAAACACATGGTGGATTACAATGCCATGGATGCAAAGAGTCTAACTTACTAAGAGCCTTCATCTGCTTCCTGTTGAAATAATATCTTGGATAAACTGGGTTACATAACATGTACTATTAATTTCACTTGTTTCTTTTTACTTTTTGAAAAGTGGCTGATGATATATTTCCGTTAGCAGTGAGCTAGAAGATAATCAGGTTCGAAGATGCTAAATGACTTTTCAAGAGCACAAAGTTAATAAAAGTCAAATGGTAATTAGAAACCAGATCTGCTTTCACAGCATTCCAATAAAGTAATTTTTTAAAATGATTTACTTATTTGTTGGGGTAAGCACTGTGGTGTAGAAGGCTTCGCCACTGCCTGCAGTGCTAGCACCCCACAGAGGTGTCAGTTTAAGTCCCAGCTTACTACTTCTGATCCAGCTCCCAGCTAATGCCTCTGAGAAAGCAGTGGCAAATGGCTTGGGCCATACCATTCACATGGGAGACCTGGAAGAAGCTCCTGGTTCCAGGCTTTAGCCTGGCACAATCCCAATCATTGCAGTCATTTGGGGAGTGAACCAGTGGATAGCAGATCTTTCTACCTCTCTTCCTCCTCTCTCTGTATCTCTGCCTTTAAATAAATAAATAAATATCACGAGAGAGAGAGAGAGAGAGAGAAACACAGGTCTCCCATGTAGGTGCAAGGTGTCAAAGACTTGAGCCATCTTCTACTGTTTTCCCAAGCACATTAGCAGGGAGCTGGATTTGAAGTGGAGCAGTTGAGACACAAACCAGTGCACACCTGGGACGTCTACATGACAGCCAGTGGCTTAACCTACTGTGCCACAGCACCAGTCCCTCAGTGAAGCTTTATGGTACCGCCCTCCCTGGGCAATGTAAGAAAAATTGAGTTTAGCAAAAAAAAAATCAGTCAAAACAGCCAAAAAGTATCATTAAAGGGCATTAGAGCGAGGTTCAGATGTCAGCTGGACCTGATCACTGACATTAGATATACAATATCACGTTCTAAAATGAGCGAGTGTGGAACATGGGAGACCAAGAAGAAGCTCCTGGCTTCAGATTGGCCCAACTCCAGCCATTGCAGAGATCTGGGAAGTGAATCAGCAGATGGAAGATCTCTCCCTCCATCTTGTCCTAACTCTGCCTTCCAAGTAAATAAATCTCTTTCTAAAAAGATTAAGTGTAGATCGTCAAGCCTTTCTGTCAGGTGCCCCCACAGCACTGGCACTGTGCATGCTCTGACGCAGATCTGGTATATTTCACACCCAGAGAGGGCAGCCTCAGGATGCGTGAAGCCCTCTCACACAGAAACAGTGCTTTTGTGGACTCGGGAGCTACCAAGACGCTGCTGACGAGGGCTGTGCTGGTAACCAGCCTTCAGTGTTCTCAGGACATCTGAACCACCTTGTGGGAAGACCAACTGCCTTCTACGTGAGGATCATTACTGTGCTGCATCAGCAGGTAAAATTAAGTTCTGCTGCAATGCCAAACAGTTACATAATCGGCAATGGCTCCAGAGAGAAGGTCTTAAAGAGCACTGAACAAAACTGACTGTGTGGCAGCTAGACCAGACAAGGGGAGAGGACTACTTGAACTTCCCTTTCAAAACATCAAAACCCACTCTGCTTTGGGTCTGTGTTATTAAAGCGCTAAATTGTATTTTTAAACGGCAAACTTCATTTGCAAATTATATCAATAAAAAAATTCAGCACCACTTAAAAAAAACCACCATAATAAAGTGGCCCACAGGTTAAACTGTGGATGTACTACTTACAAGATATTTATTTATGAAATTAATGTTGACAAACAAATAGGAAATCTCTAGGTTTACATAATGTCACCCATTTCAAATTAATTGGAACAAAGGAGAAAGATCTCCTTGCCTATTATCCTTAGGGGGAAAAAGAAATGCCTTCCCCACCCCTCATCCACTTGGGCATGAACAAGTCACTTCCCACCCTGAAGTCTCCAGTCCTCTCTAAAAGCAAGTAGTGCAGGCTGGCACTGTGGTACAGCAGGCTAAACCTCTGCCTGCAGCGTCAGCATCTCATATGGGCACCAATTCTAGCCCTTCTAATCCAGATCCCTACTTATGGCCTGGGAAGGCAACAGGATGACCCAACTCCTTGGGTCCCTGGACCCACATGGGAAACCTGGAGGAAGCTCCTGGCTTCCTCTTGGATAAATATACATCAGCTGAGCTCTGGCCACTGCAGTCATCTGGAGAGTGAACAAGCAGATGGAAGATATATCACCTGTCTCCCTATGTTTGTCTCTTTCTCCCTCTTCTCTCTGAAATCCTTCCTTCAAATAAAAAATAATAATAAACAAAAAGAACCTTTAAAAAAAAGCAGGCAGTGGGAGCACCCACCCAGTAAAATCTTTGGCATTCACTTCAATTACACTAAAGGCAGGTGTTTATTTTTCAGATGGTTGTCTTAAATTAATTAAATTATAGATTATCTCTCAGTGTTCAGTTTCTGTGCTCTGAAAGCAATAACAGCTTCTCAATTTGACTGCATTGCAAATCTGATGTCAAGGAATGCATGCAACCATCCAATAACATTTCTTACGTACACCTGAATTTCTACATGAAACACTAAGTATGAAAGTTCCTCCTCTTGGCTTAAAAGTATAATGCACTAAAAAAAAAAAAAAAAAAAAACACAATGCATTCTACTTGAAGAGAGATGTCCTAACTATTATACATCACTCCGAGGTATCATCACCAATCTCCCCCTGCCAGCAGGGGTCAGAGCAATCTGAGTCAAAGCAAAGGGATAATTGTCACTTGCAAGGAAATACTATGTTGCCTCCTAAAGAAAAGTCATGAGGAAGCTTACACTCTAGTGCTTGGATATATCAAATGGATGGAAAGAGGCACAGCCAAACTGAGAACTGCAAAGTGAGAGAAAAAAAAAGTTTAGAATAAAAAATGGTTAAAGAAGTAGAATAGAGAGAAAAACTAAAGAAATAAGTACCTCAAAAAGGTCATGGAAAATGGAATGAGAGGCAGTGTTGAGGAGTTAGCAGGTAAAGCCATTGCCTGCAATGCCATCATCCCATCTGGGGCATAGTTCAGGTCCTGGCTGTTCCACTTCCTATCCCTGTTAATGTGCCTAGGAAAACAGCAGAAGGTAGTCCACGTGCTTGGGAAGATCAGGAAGAAGCTCCTGATGTTTCTCCTCAGTCCCTCCCAGTCTCTCTCTGTAACTATGCCTTTCAAATAAATAAATATTTTTAAAAGGGTTTATGGAGATTAAACAGCTAGATATAAGTGGATAAGGAATTTAAATAGTTACATTAGATATTAGATGTATCAATTAGCATAGCAATGTTATATGTATATTTACTGTTGATTATACACCTTAAGAATCATGTTGGTATATACCTTAAGAATCATGATTCCCCTTAGAGGAATATATTCTTAACATACCACTAAGAAAATTAACTCAAAATAAAAGGAAGTGAGCTTATAATTGATATGAGTACTTTCTATACAGCATCAAATTTAATTCTTCTAACTACCCACAAAATATTTTATAGATAACAAGAACAAGCTATTGTCACAAGAGTAATCTAAGATCATACCAGCTGCAACAGCATCGCAATTCTGTCTCTGAAGTCTATGATTTCCACCTGTATCACGGAATCCCCAGGGTGAGGACTCACACAGAGAATTCTGAGTGTCAAATTATGAAGAGCTGGTACCTACCATTTAATGACGCTGAATGATCTGAGCCAGCAACAACACATATTGCTCTGGAGTTCTCCAGGCCTACAAAATAGAGAGAAAAAAGAAAAGTAAAATGTGGTTTACTTCTGAATTACGTTTATAAGAGAACAAAGTAGGCAGACATCCAGTACCACCTGGTCAGGGAAAGAACCTGTCAACCAGTGCAAGTGAGTCCGAGTCATTGGCACTGGCCAAGAAGATAGCTGGCATGGCAGGGACATGGACAGCACACCAAAGAGTGAGTCAAGTCAATATAGTGAGAGGAAAGCACACAGAACTCTCCCTGTCTCAACCACTGGGTATTAGGTTGCAATTGGAGAAATCAGTGCAAATTCATACTTTCCAGTTAAGATAAATAAGTAGACACAAGGGTGCGTATGTAAAAATATGTTTGGGTGTAAGGCATATTTCCTAGTTCTGGCTGCCAAGTGGCCTGGAAGCAATGACAACTCATGCATTGAGCTATCACGTGCAGGCACTTAAATACCAACCCAGGTCTCATAACAGCACTCAGGCAGAACCAGAATCTCCTAATCTAGTAATTCTCCCTTAATTTTTGGCCCTCAACCAACAAGGCAAAATTTCAAACAGCCCTCGAAAAGTTTGGGTACCTGTCATGAACAAGTGTTCTATTATGTTCCAAAATCCTTCAGGTGATCTGAACTGAAGAAGACTTAGAGAAAAGTTAAAGAGCTCCTGTCCAGTTTTTCTTAAAGTCCAACTTCAGTGAACTAGGACACAAAGCAAGACAGTGTGAGAGGAAAAGGGGGAGAAGAAAAGGAGATGGCAACTTCATACCGTAATCATAGAAAACTCTACAGAAGACAGAGGAACAAAAGGGAGCAGGGTAGGAGGAGAAAGAGAGAGAGAGATGGAATAGGGGAAAGGAAAAGTAAAGGAAAGAGAAGGAGAGAAGACAATGCCAAAGAGAAAGCAATATTGACAAACAAAATTAACCAGCGGAATTGAGCAGAGAATATTCACTATCTATTCCTCATGCTTTTATGTAAAGAAATTTTCCTATAAAAATACTTCTGGCCCCTCTCTCTACATCCTCACTCACTTTTGCTTCCCTTTTTGGAGCAAGAACTGAGCATGTGCAACACAGTCCTTCTAAGTTTTTCCTTTGAGATCTGCTTGTTCACAGACAGGGTGACTCCTCATGCCACCCTGGCCATGCAGTAAGCTTTGCAGGGCTGACTACATACAGAAACTGCTATAGGGCCCACTGGGTAAAGTCAATTTAAGGTTCAGAATTTAGAAGCTAATTATTACTATACAGTGTATCTAAAAATCTAAACTATGTCTGCCAAACCAGATTTGAATATTTGTTAGAATTACCATTTTCATCACCACCTCCCTGTTTTATATCTACCTCTCAATGGGTTTCAAACTCCGGCGGCCAACAAAATCATGTGGGTCCACAAAAATCCCAACAAGACCAACAGACCAATCAACAAGAAAAAGAAACCAAACACCAGAAAAAGTGAAAATTCATTTATCCCGTCTGTCTGCTTCCTGATAAAGAATAAACATAAGACAAAGAAGATCAAAGGGTCCCACCTGTCACTCTGCTTGGTTCCTTTGCTGTCAAGAACAAAGGGAGAGTCTTCCCAGGGCACAATCGTCGTCCTGATGATGCCAAACCAGTCCCCCACTGGAACACCATGCCACTCACTTCCCATTGAAGCAGAAGAGAAAAACAGAAAAAGTACATCAGCAGTGACCAGATTGCTCATTAAACTCACATCTGTGGGAAATTCTCAATTCTCAAATAGCATGAGTAGTAAACATGAAATGGTTCAATTTTTTCAAAGGTTCCTGTGGCTGGTCATAAAAATTACCATCAGACAAATAACAAATCCAGTCTTCAGGGCAATCTAAAACCTTGAAAACAAATTCTAATACAGCAAAATTTCCTCCCAAAGGTCTAAGACACCCAATCCAGAGTCACATCATTAGAATGACACTCTGTTAGGATTATCCTGCCAAGAAAACTCAGACTCCAAACCAAGTGCAAAAGAATCCTGAATATCATCCAGATCACTGTTCACATTTACTAGATAAGAAAACTGAGGTCCTGAATACAAAACATGATTTCTCCAAGATAACACAGGGTGGCAGTAACAGAGAAAATGTTAAGAGTCAGTTCTTTTGACACCTTTCACACTACCATTACACCAAGATGAAGTCAAAAATTTCTAATTGTCAAATCAATTACAAGGTAGATTCCAAATAACTATGAGTTCAGTGGAATGGCCTTTTATTTCCATTTCCAGTAAGTCTAATTTAATTACTCAAGTGTGAACATCATAAAACACACAGATGAAGTTCTATATATTTGGTTTACAGTCAAATGTGTATGTAATAGGATCTATCACCCAAAACCAATTCCTCTGGAACTATGTTATACCGAGTAATTTCCTTTAGCTTGTAAACGGACAAGCCTGCTCTCTTAAAAACAAGCTATGATACTGAGCACAATGTGAGCAAAGCACAAAATTGCAATAAAAACAAACCTTACAGGCACAGCTAAGGTCCCCGCCTTGCATGTGCCATGATTCCATATGATGTTGGTTCGTATTCCAGCTGCTTTTCCACTTTCCATCCAGCTCCCTGCTTATGACCTAGGAAAGCAGTCAAGGCCAGCCCAAAGCCTTGGGATCCTGCATCTGTGTGGGAGACCCAGAAGAAGCTCCTGGCTCCTGGTTTTGGATCAGCTCAGCCCTGGCCATTGTGGCCACATGGGGAGTGAACCAGCCAATAAAAGATCTTTCTCTCTGTACCTGTATGTCCCTGTATATCTGCCTTTCCAATAAAAATGAATAAATCTAAAAAAAGAAGAAGAAGAAGAAGAAGAAAGAAAGAGAAGAAGGAAGGGAGGCAGGCAGGAAGCAATGAAGGAAAGAAAAAGAAAAAAACATACTAGTAAGTTCAGGGTAAATTGGAACTCTTATTCACTATAGGTGGGAATGTAAAATGGTACAGCCACTATAGAAAATAATGCGGCAGTTAGCTAAAACATTAAAAATAGAATCATTTTATAATCAAGCAAGAACTATGTAAATACCTTTTTTTTTTTTGATCAGTTTGTTTTCTTATTTTCAGAGACAGAGAGAAAAATCTTCCATCTGCTAGTTCACATTCCAAGTGCCACAACAGCCAGAGCTGAGTCTATTCGAAGCCAGGAACCAGAAGCTTCTTCTGGGTTCCCTACATGGGTGCAGGATCCTCGGGCTTTGGGCCATCCTCAACTGCTTTCCCAGGCCCTAAGCAGGGAACTGGATGAAAAATGAAGCAGCTAGGACACAAACCAGTACCCATGAGGGATCCTGGCACACACAAGGTGAGAAATTAGCCACTGAGCCATCCTGCTGGGCCCTATACACCCATATTTAAACCAGTACTATTAACAATAGTTAATTCATAGAAGCAATCCAAATGTCAATCAGCAGATGAATTAATAAGAAAAATGTTATATATATGCACACACACACTAGAATATGATTAGCCTGAAAAAGTACAGAAATGCTGACATACTCAACAGATGAACATAAGGACATCATGTTAATTAATATAAACCCGTCACCAAAAAGAACAATAGTTTATGATTCTATTCATATAAGGTACTTAGAGTGAAAATCAGAAACAGAAAACAGAGCAGTCATTGCCAGAGGCTGGGTGGGGAAGTTTGGGAGTTACTGTCAACTGGCCATAGCGTCAGGTTTGCAAGATGAAAAATGTACTAGACGCAGATGGTGATAATTGCAAAATGACACTAACAGATTTAACACCACTGAACTCTATCTTTACTTAGGGAGTGAATCATCGGACGGAAGATCTTCCTCTCTGTCTCTCCTCTCTGTATATCCGCCTTTCCAATAAAAAAAATAATAAAAAAATAAATAAATCTTCAAAATGATTCAGATGGTAAACTTTCCGTCACATTTTATCACAACAAAAACAATTAGGAAGGGTTAACACAATGGTGTAGCAGGCTAATCCTCCAGCTGCAGCACAGGCATCCCATATGGGCACCGGTTTGTGTCCCAGCTGCTTCACTTCTGATCCAGCTTCCTGCTTATGGCCTAGGAAGGTAGCAGTGAACAGCTCAAGTCCTAGAGGCCCTGCACCTACATGGGAGATCCAGAAGAAGCTCCTGGCTCCTAGCTCTAGATTAACTCAGGTCTTGGCCTCATGGGCATTTGGGAAGTGAACAAGCAGAAGGAACTCTCTCTCTCTTTGTATCTCTCACTCACTGTCTCTATCCCTCTGTCTCTGCTTCTTTCTGTAAATCTGTCTTTCAAATTAAAATACATTTTTTAAAAATTTTAAAGGAAAAATTAGAATTTTCACAGAGACATTTAGAGTTTCTAATAACCAATTTCAATTGAACTAACTGAAATCCTAACTCAAGCTGTTTTAAAATGTATTTTGATATAATTAGGAAAATTTTTTCAAGATTTATTGTTAGTTGAAAGGAAGAGTTACACAAAGCAGACAGAAAGATCCTCCAACCACTGGTTCAGTCCCCAAATGGCCACAACAGCCGGAGCTGAGCCAATTCAAAGCCAGGAGCCTGGAGCCTCCTCCAGTCTCCCACAATGGATACAGAGGCCCAAGGGATTGCACCATCTCCATGGCTTTCTCAGAACACAAGCAAGGAGCTAAATGGGAAGCAGAGCCACCAGGATACAAAGTGGCACCCATATGGGATAAATGCACTGCAGGCTAAGGCTATTATGCCACTGCACTATTCCTAATCAGGAAAATTCACACATTAAATTACTGCTTAATTTTTAGGTAGAAGCTAGCATTACACTGATTTTCCAAAAATTACTTATCTTCTAGAGATGCATACAGAAATAGTTAAACAGGAGTGAGGAATTAAAATTAATCAAATGATGGAGGCTGTTACCTTGTAAGTGGATAAAAAGGAATAGAGTTGGGGGCCCTGGTGCGGTAGTGTAGTAACTAAATCCTTGCCTTGAAACCACCGGGATCCCATGAGTGCTGGTTCACATACCAGATGCTCCACTTCCCTTCCAGCTCCCTGCTCGGAGCCTGCGAAAACAGGAGAGGATGGCCCAAAACCCTGGGACCCTGTACCCATCTGGGAGACCCAGAAGAAGTTCCTGGCTCCTGGCTTCAAATTGGCTCAGCTCTGACCATTGTGGCCACTTGGGGAGTAAACCAGTGGATGGAAAGATCTTTCTATCTAGCCTTCTCTCTGTAAATCTGCCTTTCCAATTAAAATAAATAAATCAATAAAAATGAATCTTTTAAAAAGGCAATTTACATTTATGGTTAGCAATTACATTTATCAGTATTCCTATGAGCCACTTGTCTGGCAAGCAGTTAGCTTGCAGAATACAAAAGGAATTCCTACTGCTCAATAGCAAAAATTTTTAAACAGAAAAAGCACTGGAGTAGACATTTCTCCAAAAACATACAAGTGGCCAAAGGGTATATCAAATCATGTTCAATGTTACTAATCATCAGGAAAATGCAAATCAATGAGATCATCTCACATCTGCAAAGAATAACACTAAAGTGTCCAATGCAACATTACTCACAACAGGTGGGACATGGTAACAGGGTCTGACATTGTGGTGCAGGAGGTTCAGTTGACATCTGAGATGTTCCCATTCCAAGTTAAATTGCCATTTACAACGCCCACATACCATATCAGAGTGCTAATTCAAGCTCTGGTAACTCTGCTTCCCATGCAGCTTCCTACAAACACATCCCGGGAGGTAGCTGATAACGGCTGAAGTGCTTGGGCCCCTACCACCACAAAGGAGACCCAGATGGGGTTCCAAGTTCCCACCTTCAGCCTGGCCCAGCCCCGGCTTGGCAGGCATTTGAAGAGTGAATGAGCAAATGCAAGATTTTCTCTCTTTCTCTCTCTGTTGCTCTCTCTGTGTCTCATTCTCCCCTCCCCACCCCATTCTTTCTCTTCCCCTCACTTCCTCACTCCATCTTTTAAGAAGGGGAAAATTAATTTTTTTTTTATTGGAAAGGTGGATATACAGAGAAGAGAGACAGAGAGGAAGATCTTCCATCCGATGATTCACTCCCCAAGTGAGCGCAACGGCCAATACTATGCCAATCCGAAGCCAGGAGCCTCTTCCGGGTCTCCCACACGGGTGCAGGGTCCCAAAGCATTGGGCCGTCCTCGACTGCTTTCCCAGGCCACAAGTGGGGAGCTGGATGGGAAGAGGGGCCGCCGGGATTAGAACCGGCGCCCATATGGGATCCCGGGCATGCAAGGCGAGGACCTTAACCACTTGCACCACCGCGAAAATTAATTTTAAAAAGAAATTTAAGAAATATAATATGATATAAACATGCAATGGACTATTATTCGGCCTTAAAAATGAAGCCTTGTCACTTGGGATAACACAGATGAATCTGCACAACATTACTCAAAGTGAAATAAGCCAAAGGACAGATACAGGACGAAAATCAACAGCCATAGTGTACGCAAATAACACCAAGATGGAAGAAGATCTAACCAACAGGATACCATTCAAAATAACAGAGAGAAGTATGAAGTATTTGGGAATAAATCTAACCAAAAGCGTAGGAGACCTATTCGAAGAAAACTACAAACTATTTAAAAAGGAAATTGAACAAGACCTCAAAAGATGGAATAACATCCCGTGCTCCTGGATAGGCAAAATCAATATCATTAAAATGTCTATACTACCACAAGCAATATACATTTTCAACGCAATTCCAATCAAATTGCCCAAAACATTCTTCACGGAACTGGATACAATGATTCAAAAGTTCATCTGGAAACACAAAAAACCACGAATAGCTAGAACCATCCTGAAAAATAAGAGGTTAGCAGGGGGAATCACAATCCCAGACCTCTGGACATACTATAGAGCAGTGGTTATCAAAACAGCCTGGTACTGGCACAAAGACAGAAAGGAAGATCAATGGAATAGAATAGAAGCACCAAAAGGGAACCCACACAAATACAGCCAATTAATCTTTGACAAAAAGACCAATGATAGCTCAAGCAAGTGGGAAGGCCTCTTTAGTAAATGTTGTTGGGACAACTGGCTGATAGCCTGTAGAAACAAAAGGATAGACCCACATCTATCACCATACACTAAGATCCAATCTACATGGATAAAAGACCTAAACCTACATCCAGAAACCTTCAAACTCTTGCAAGAAAATGTAGGAAATACACTGCAAGACCTAGGAGTAGGTTCCGACTTTCTAAGAAGGACACCAAAAGCAATAGCAGTTGAGAACAGAATAAACAAATGGGACCTCATCAAACTAAGAAGCTTCTGTACAGCAAGGGAAACAATCAACAAAGTAAAAAAGCAACCCACAGAGTGGGAGAAGATCTTTGCACACGATATAGGCGATAGGGGGCTAATTTCCAGGATATACAAAGAACTTCAAAACAACCAAAAAACCAAAACAAACAAGCCACTCAAGAAATGGGCAAGGGAAATGGGCAAACATTTCACAAAGGAACAAGTCCAAATGGCAAACAAACATATGAAAAAATGTTCCAGCTCCCTAGCAATAAGGGAAATCCAAATTAAAACATCGATGAGGTACCACCTAACACCAGTAAGATTGGCCCACATAAACAAGAACACCAACGACGCTTGCTGGCGAGGATGCGGGGAAAAGGGAACCCTACTCCACTGCTGGTGGAGCTGCAAATTGGTACAGCCTTTATGGAAATCAGTCTGGAGAACACTCAAACAACTCAAAATCTGCATACCATATGACCCAGCAATAGCACTCCTAGGAATATATCCAAAACACCTGTTTTACGACAAACCAACATGCATCCCTATGTTCATTGCAGCACAATCAGTAATTGCAAAAACATGGAAGCAACCGAAATGCCCATCAATAGAAGATTGGATAAGAAAGCTTTGGTTCATCTACTCCATGGAATACTACTCAGCTATTAAAAAAAACAAAATGCAGTTCTTTGTGGCTAAATGGGCACAACTGGAAACTATAATGCTAAGGGAAATGAGTGAATCCCAAAAGATTAGATACCACATGTTTGCCTTGATTTAACCTGTAATTTATTGTTTGGTTGTTTGTTATTTTTTGAACGTGTCATTGATGCTGTCTCAACCCAGATGTTTCGAAGAATGGAACTTGCATTATTTTTAACATATTGTTTACCCAATACTATGTCAATTAATTCCATAATGTTGTATATTGATACTGAGGCCTTGTTGGGGCTTTTAACCGACCGGATCTTTACTCTGTTAGCCCTATCTTCAGACCATAGAAGGTCTCCCCAGGAGGCCACTGAACTTATCTGGACAATAAGACGCTGAACTTTATGCTAGGCATGTGTTTGCAAGCAATGAATCTCAACTGAACTTGAACTATGGTTATGCAGCAAGGTGGAGGAATCCACCATGGGGGGAGGGGTATGGGGAGGGGTGGGGGGAATCCCCAGCGCCTATAAAACTGTACTACATAATACAGTGTAAGCAACAATAAAAAAAAAAAAAAAAATCATAGAAGCAGAAAACAGAATAGCGGCTCCAGAGACTGGGGAGCAAGGGAAATTGGAAAAGTTGTTCAATGGGTATAACATTTTGGTTATTCTACATGAATAAGATTTAGAGTTGTTGTACAGCACTGCCTATAGTCACATACAGTATTGTGCACTTCAACAATTGTTAAGAGGCTAGATCTCACGTCATTAGTATTCTTACTACAAAACACAAACATATACACAAACCAAAGGGACACAAAGAAACTCGGGAGGCACTAAATATGTCTACTATCTTTACTCTGGTGACGGCCAATTAGTGCTGTCCTTAGCCCAGAAGGAGGGAGAGCAAAAACAGGAGCAAGGGGCAGATAGCAGAGTCACCGCTCACCCATCTGCCACCGCCCCACTCCATGTCATACACAAGTTCCATCACACAGAGAGCACACAAGACAAGCTCATTCAGCGTTTTTAAACTGAAGAAAAAATTAAAATCCACTAGGAAGGCAGTGCACTGCAAACAATGTGGGCTAGACTCTGATCCCAACTGTACCTCTTACCGCTTTCACCCTGGAAAACCTTACACAAGCACTTCATCCCTGTATGCCTCAGTCTCCAAACACAAAAAATTCAGTCATTCTTGTTGTGAGGAATAAATAAGGGGAACCTAGCACCATGCCTAGAAAAACATGAAAAACTTTATTGATTCCTCCCTACCACCTAAGGCCTTTCCCATGTGACATTCAACTTCTGTTCCCCACCTTTTAGTGAGAAATACAAACCATCAACACTACTAAAGGAACTTTCCTCCTAGAGCTCAGCTTCTTCTTCTTATAGCACGTCTGTTTAAAATAAAAGGTGCAGTGCGATAGCCCAGTGGCTAAATCCTCACCTTACACGCACCAGGATCCCATATGGGTGCCAGTTTATATCCTAGCTGTTCTACTTCCCATCCAGGTCCCTGCTTATGGCTTGGGAAAGCAGTCAAGGATGGCCCAAAGCCTTGGGACCCGGCATTGAAGCCTTGGCTTCAGACTGGCTCATTGTAGTCATTTGGGGAGTAATTGAGCAGATGGAGGTTTTTCTGTCTCTTTCTCTATAAGTCTGTCTTTGCAACAAAAATAAACAAATCTTTAAAAAGGGCAAAACAGTCACCTGTGACAGCTAATGCATGCCTGAGTCCAGCTGCAACATGAACAACCTTCTCTCTCAGGAGCTGTTGAAATAAAGCAAAGGGTTTAGATCCCGGAATTACTCATCTACAAAACTTCATGTAATTTATGCCCAAATACAATGCAGCATGGTCCTCTTTCAACAGTTCTACTTACAAATACATCTATATTTAGCCCTCATTTTTTAAGAAATCTTTTTATAATACGACATCATAATACCCATCATCGCTGGGAGAGATTTCCAAAGTCATCCCAGTCCAGGAGTTAATAAATGTTTTCTGTGAAGGGCCAGACAGTAAATATTTAAGACTTTACAGGCCATATGGTTTCCATCATACAACTCAGCTCTGGCATTGTAACACAAAAGGAGCTAGACTATACAAAAATGAATGAGTATGGCTGTGTTCCAATTACATTTTATTTACAAAGAGCTCTTAGTTTTCCCACTGCTGTTCTAGTTCAAGCCCTACCTAACATTAGAAACCCCTCCACAACAACCTCACAAGTGCTCAGCCAACCCCTGCCAAACACCTACCCCCAGTGACACAGTACTCAGCATCTCCTCACGAGTGTTACGTCTTTGCACTGTTCCTTTTATCTCTTTAGATGGAGCCAAAACTAGCTGCCTGCAGCTTCTGACAATGACAAAGCTTTCCAAATATTTGAAGACAGTTGTCATGTCCCCTCTAAGACATCTTATGGTGGTTTCAAAAATAGGTTCTCAAAGTCTCTGATATGCCTCCCTTCAAGATGTGGAACTCAACTCCCTTTTTGTGTGTGGGCTGGACTTAGTGACACATTTCTAATGAAAGAAATTAGAAAGCAATGTGTGATTCAGAGACTAGGTGATAAAAAGCACTGCAGATCCCTGCTTGGTTTCAAGCTCCCAAACCCACCCTCACCCCATTATGCTTGGGAGAAGCTAGGTGCCACTGTGAATAGTTCTACAGAAAGGCCAAGCATGACAAGGAACTGAAGAACTGCTACCAGTCATGCAAGAGCTTAGAAACGTGTCAACCAACCCCACTGACCCATCAGACTGCATACAAATCCAGCTGGCATCTCACTGCAACTGCATGAGAAAACCTGAGCTGTTTCTAGTTTCCCAAACCTCAGAAGTGATGAGATAATAAATCTTTATTGTTTTAAGCTGCTAATTCTGGGATAATTTGCTACATAGCAGCAGATAACTGATGAAGACCTCCTCTTTAGGCCACAACTCTTCAGTTTCACCAGCCCAAATGGGCTCTTATTTAATCTCTGTCTTTGTTTAAAGTTGTGCTTATTTTTATTGTAAAGGCAGATTTATAGAGAGAAAGAGAGACAGAGAGAAAGATCTTTCCATCCACTGGTTTACTCCCCAAGTGGCCGCAATGGTCAGAGCTGAGCCAATTTGAAGCCAGGAGCCAGGAACTTCTTCTGGGTCTCCCACATGGGTACAGGGTCCCAAGGTTTTGGGCCATCCTCTACTGCTTTCCCAGGCTACAAGCAGGGAGCTGGAAGGGAAGTGGAGCAGATGGCACACAAACTGGCACCCATATGGGATCCTGGCACATGCAAATCGAGGATTTAGCCACTGAATCATCACACTAGGTCCTAATCTCTGCCTTTTAATGGAACTGTTTATGCATCAATCACAACCCCTCTGGGGATCTTATCACGTTTGTTTATTGAGAGGTCCCTGGTACTTTTCTGAACTTTAAATCCCTCCAAGACAAGGCCTCTATTTACCTATTTGCCTGGAGCCTAAGCACCAAATCTGCCAGAAAACACAGTTTACTAGTTGCAATGTCACCAGTACAAAGGCTAGAGCTCTGGCCTTCTTGCTTTCAGAGACTATTTTCCTGTCAATAGAACCACAATCACACTAGCTTTGGGGATGCTCCAATCTTACTCCTAATACAATGCAGATATACTATCCTCTCACATTTTTTTTCTTCCTTTTTTCTCCCTAAAAGTGAAGAGCTTTATATATGGATACAATCTCACCAACACACTCATTTCCATCTCTTCCTCTCCATCCCTGCTCCTGTTGCATTCTTTGGGGCCAGGGTTCTCTCATCTGGATTGTCTACATGAGTTCCCCAAGTAATCTTCCTTCGATCCTTCCTATAGGACACACTGTCCTATCTGGTCCTTACACAACTATTCTTACCACCTGAGTAGGCTCTCCCCATCCACTTTACTCCAGCACTTCCACCATTTTCAATATTCCAATCATACTAAAAATACTTCAGTATCCTAAATATCCTGTTTTATGCTTCTATACCTTTGCTTACACAACTGCTTCTGCTTAGAACAGTCTGCCCTTGCACTTATTCTGTGCATCCTCCTATTCCAAACTTTCTTCAGGGTTTTACATGTACCTATCATAGTTCTGAAATGGTACTACCTTTATGTGTCTGTCACGTACTACAGAACTAAAAAAGACTCTCAAATGCTAGGACAAGTCTTCTTCACTCTTCCTAAATACAGTGCCTGCACACAACAGATGCCATTAAGATGGGTGAATTTCTATTACATTTCATATTGGCACTTTCCTCCCATTGCTCCATAGAACAATCTGTCCAAATATTTTCACTTCCTCATTCTGTCACCCAACATACTGTAATCATTCTTCCTCTCTGTCTTCTTTACTTATATGAGATATAACTAAGCTAAATTAATTATCGTTTGCATGTAGGTTCTTACAAGATCATTTCTCTGTAGTTGGGAGCTATAATACTTCTTACAGCAAGGATTACAGAGCATAAATTTATATGCTTACCATGAAAACTGTTACCCCAAATAACACCCCGCAGACCAGCATCCAAGTTCAGCAAGATGACAAAAGACTGATACCTTTAATCAGTGAAAATAAATCTCCCATTCTTAATCAGAGTTTAGGAAAATTAGATAATAGGACAGCTTAGGGGATGAAACTCATTTTAGATTTCAACATATTTTTTTCAAAATTCTTTAGTCTCACTGTGATAAAATTACAATGTGTACACTTTGAGTAAAATGCACTGAAAAGGACTCTGAACTCAGGCCAAGGGTTTTCCTTAGCACTGTGGTACGAGATGGTAGCAATGCACCTGCTCATTGAATACCATTTGCCCAGATTAGTGTCTTCAAGCAAGTAACTCCTCTGTGGACCTTTTTCTGGCACTGATCCCATTATCTCTCACCTTAGAACTGTAAAATATTATTAATGATTTTTTAAAAAATAAAAATGCACTTGCTTTATTTACCAATGTTCTAAAAGACAAAAACAAGTCTTTAAAAGATACAAGCAGTCACATAAATATATTACACTGGAAGACTCAAGTCCGTTTTGCGCAGGAATGAACTGCTTGTCAATGAGGTTCGCTGACCATCCTGGGAGCTCCAGGGAAGCTCGCACGTCTCTTAGGAATATTTTCAAAACGCTCAGCTCACAGCAGAGAAGGGCTAACCCCCGGATAGGCACAAAACAACAGAGACCTGGACACTCAACAGCATATGAACACATTCACCAAGTGAACCCACCAGGCCACAGGGCCATGGGCAGTGGGCAAGCACACACAGGGAGGCGGTAAACATTCCCCAGGAGGACATTCTGGCAGCTGTGGGGGATATGAAAGGAACCCTCCATCACCCCAAGAACCCAGACTGCTCCTGGCCACCTCAAGTGACATTGCTGGGTCCCTTTTTCTTTCTTCATCTTTTTTTCTTTTTTTCACATTTTTCCTTCTTCTTTTTCACATCCAGGCATTAGGCGGCTTTACGAACCCCTCGAATACGAGACATCGCCCGTCTTTTGGCCATGTCTCTGTCTAGAAGCAAGGAGAGACCTGCCTTCTTCTTTGTATTTTGGTCGTGGTCAAACTGTAGGTCAGCTGATGTGTATCTCAGTGATCACTTATCATCCACAGGGAGGCCAGTAAGACACTCTTCCAGCCACGTCTGGGCCCCATGATGCGACAGGAGACCCCACTGGTCTGACCGTGCCTATGGCACAGGCAGGAACCACCCCCTATTTTCCATGGAACCCTGTGCCCGTGCTCTCAGGAGGAGGTGTGACTTACACTGGTTGAGCTGTATTATGGGGGCTCCAGCAGACCCAGATGGGGCCCAGGGACCACAGCCAAGGCCTGGTCTCTAAGAGGGCACCCAATTTGTTGAGTAGGAACACTTTACACTTCATCCAAAATGGTCTGAAGGACATGGAAGCATCCGGAGAGTCAGAGAGTGGATGAGGCTGGTGGTGCCCCACAGCCACAGACTCCCTGAGGGCTGTTCTCTCACTACAACCAAAGAGCCAACTCAACTGCTTCACTGCAGCAGCAGCAGCCAGAGATACCAGCTGTGCCCAAGGCTGAAGGGGAACTGCTCTGAAAGGATGTTATGAGGGGCGACACTCCCGTTGGTGTGGGGAGAGAAGCATCAACGTACAAAACAGTTTCAAGATAAGCAGCCTGCAAGAGAAGGCAGAGGGAGCATGAGCAAGCACACTCTTGGAAAGTTCTGGAAGCCACACCCCAGCATGAAGTATCAGGACACAGGCCTCATCCTTGTAGCTGTCAAAGACTTCTGGGAACTTGCCCCTTCCTTGGACTGTCCTGCAGCTTTCCCCTGGCCACCAGACCACCCTGTGGGGCTGCCACTTCAGAACATGACATTTTTTAACAAAACAAAGCAAGCAACAGAAACGATGCAGAGCTTGCCCATCTCCATAGGTTGCCGAGGGCAGACCAACGGCTGCAAGGGCTGAGGGCTGCAGGAGGCCATGAGTGTCCTGCCTTAGGGTGGAGCTGCCCTGCTGCTTTGCATGTGACCCCTCGCTGAATCCTAGAGAACCACTGTCGTCCTCATTGTAGGGTGTGCACAGGCTGCCCTGGTCCTGGTCCTCCAAGTACACACATTCCACCATATCCAGCTCTGCAGTCAGGCTGCCGGTCTGCACTCAGGGGTGGACCTCACACAGCCCCTGCGCCACTGCCCTCGGAGAGCTGGGGTTGGGATTTCTGCAACAGCTGTAGTTTCTCTGTGTCCTTCAGGATCATCTCCACGACCCGAGAAAGCAGCTGCTAGGTGAACATGATGCTGTCATCTGTGTTGGCCATCAGCAGCCAGACGGGGTCCTGCAGGACGTACTTGATCAAGTCTGCACTCCCCTCCAGAGCAGGCGACTGCGCTACTGTGTGGTTATTCTCCGAGGAGTCTGTGCTTCCGAGTATCTGCTCATGTGCCTTGTGTCACTGCTATCCCATCTCAGCACAGTGCTGGTCTGTGGTCCCGCAGGCTCTTATTAATGATCTTATAAAATGTATTATGTTCACTGTTCTCAGGTACAGATTTTTGCAATGTGTATAAGAGGTAACAAGTTTTTCTAACAACCTAACTCTTCTCAGAAGGACCTACTATTTAACAAATTTTCCTACCCCACAGGCTTTCAGAAAACCATGCAGTTTTAATATTCTGGGAAAGCATAATCATTATATCCTGGAAACACTCAACCAGGTCATGGGCAAGGTAAATATCACAGTCCTCACCTCAATAGTCTGAGGAACCACACATCTTCGTGGTCCATGAGGAACTCCTAACTGGCCAAAGGAGTTGGATCCACATGATAGAACTTGACCATTTTCTGCAAAATAAAAAATGGATGTAAGCTTAAAATTTAAGAAGTAACATGTTTGTGACCTATGGCTAAAGCTGAAGAGGATTCCCATGAAGGCGGCAGGAAGAGGCAGAGGTGCTCCCTGGGATTCCACACATCCTGGCTTCACAGAGACCAATCATATTTATGCAGCAAAAAAATTCTCCAGTGGAGAATCAAGATGGCAGAATAGGGTAAGGACACATTTAAGCGGACAGAGAAACATTTAATCAGGATGAAGCAGAGAGGACACATTCCAGGAAACAGGAGAGGACAGAACAACAGCAAAGGGGTACCTGGAGACTGACAGACACAGGAAAGCAGCAGACACAATGGTGTGGTGTTACGGTAACTGATATTCCAGTGGCATTCAGGGACATGCTCCAACCGGAAATGGGAGAAAGGTTGCAGAGACAACAGTGCAACCTCAGCACAGTATCACAGGAGGAGGAGAAGAGCGGTAAGCCAGGAGCTGGGGCTGTGGAGACCACAGTGGAACTCTAACATAAGAACCCAGACCTGAAACTCGCTGGAGGTTGTGGCACAAGTGGCTGCAAGCAAAAAGTTGTGTACCAACTGCAATAACTAAAATCAAACTGTAGACCTGTGGGTGACTTAGAAACCTGCCCCAAGGAGAAGATTCTGATAACCAGAAGTACAATGACCAAGAGCAAAAGAAGAGACAAAGGCACAATGAATATTACTGAAAACTCCCCTGTAAAGGAGCAAAACCTTATGCTACCTCAGAGTTAACTGAAGAAGACATCGAGAAAATAGGGCACAAAGAATTCATAAAACTCATTTTAAAGCTTCTGATCAACAATGAGAAGCACATACAAGAGTTCAAAGAATTTAAGGAAGCAATAAAGCAAATCAAGGCTGATAGATCAGAAATTAAGAACACAGTAGAGCTAATTAAAAATACAGTGGAGAGGGCCTGGCGCAGTGGCGCAGTGGTTAAGGTCCTCCCCTTGCACGCCTGGGATCCCATATGGGCACCGGTTCTAATCTCGGTGGCCCCGCTTCCCATCCAGCTCCCTGCCTGTGGCCCGGCGGGAAAGCAGTTGAGGACAGCCCAAAGCTTTGGGACCCTGCATCCGTGTGGGAGACCTGGAAGAGGCTCCTGGCTTCGGATCGGCATAACATCGGCAGTTGCGCTCACTTGGGGAGTGAATCATCGGACGGAAGCTCTTCCTCTCTGTCTCTCCTCTCTGTATATCTGCCTTTCCAATAAAAAAATAATAAAAATAAATCTTTAAAAAAAAATAACAGTGGAGAGTCTCCAAAGTAGAATGAAGCAAGCAGAAGAAAGAATCTCAGAATTGGCAGATACTTCCTGTCATCAGGGAGAAGCAAACAAAAAGCTGGAAGCAGAGCTGGATCAGGCCAAAAAAAGTATTCAAGAATTGAAAGACACTATGAAGAGGTCATGTATAAGAGTTATGGGAGTCCCAGAAGGTGCAGAAAGAGAAGCTGAGTTTGCAAATGTATTTAATGAAATAATCAAGGAAAATTTCCCTAATCTGGAGAAAGAATTGGGAGACAACATCCAGGAGGGACACAGAACTCCCAACAGGCTTGATCAAAAGCGATCTTCACCAAGACACATGATCATCAAGCTCTCTTCAATTGAACATAAGGAAAAGATCCTTAAATGTGCATGTGAAAAAATCAGTTGACATATGAAGAAATGCCAGTTAAACTCACAGGAGACCTCTCACAGGAAACTCTATAGGCAAGAAGAGAATGGAGTGACATATTCCAGATTCTAAAAGAAAACAATTGTTGGCCTAGGATAACATACCCAGCAAAAATTTCCTTTGTCTTTGACAATAGTATGCTGGACTCTCTCCCATTGTTCTTGCCCACAATAATGGACATATGACTGTGTATGAAGAACTATTCTTTAGTAATGATATACAGGAACCAGGTGGGGGAGAGGGGAATTGGGGCTGGGATAAGGGAAATGCCAGGAGCCTATGGAACTGTATCAGAAAATGATAATAATAATAATAATAATAAAATTTTTTTTAAAAGATTGAATCTGAAAAAAAAATTCTTCAGTGGGAAAAAGCTGCCATCCTTACTATGGGAACTTCTGTTTTCTCATGTTTTCCCAATCACAATATCCTGTGACAAACCCTTAGTTGGCACTGCTCGCCAGCCAGACTAGGAACATAGTTTTCATTAATTTGTAGGACAGAAAGCAGCCATCAATAATGGTCTACAAAACAAATAAGTTTTATAAAGAGTGATCTAGGGCCCGGCAGCGTGGCCTAGCGGCTAAAGTCCTTGCCTTGAACGCACCGGGATCCCATATGGGCACTGGTTCTAATCCCGGCAGCTCCACTTCCCATCCAGCTCCCTGCTTGTGGCCTGGGAAAGCAGTCGAGGATGACCCAAAGCCTTGGGACCCTGCACCCGTGTGGGATACCCAGAAGAAATTCCTGGATCCTAGCTTCGGATTGGGATAGCATCGGCCATTGTGGTCACTTGGGGAGTAAACCATCAGACGGAAGATCTTCCGATCTTCCTCTCTGTCTCTCCTCCTCTCTGTATGTCTGACTTTCCAATAAATAAATAAATCTTAAAAAAAAAAAAAAAAAAGAGTGATCTAGTTCACTTCCCAGTCTCTAACAAATGTCTTCCAACCTAATCTCAATCTTCCTCTCTATCACAACTTTCCTTTAGGGCTTGGCATTACAGCACATCAGCTTATACTGCACGTGTGTGGGACGCCAACATGCCCTATCAAAGTACCAGTGTGAATCCTGGTTGCTCTGCTTCCTATCCAGGACCATGCTAATACACCTGGAAGGCAGTAGAAGATGGCCTGAGTACCTTATCAGATCAAGACGGCATTGTTACCTGCTTGTTTAACTAGACCTGTTTTCAGACCTGTTAAGACCATTTAGGGAGTAAATCAGCAGACAGATCTCTTCTTCTCTGTCAATCTCTCTTGTTCCAATTCTGTCCTTAAAGTAAGTAAATTAACAACTTTTCTTTAGGGCCTAACAAGCCCTAAAGAAGTTAAGCGACCTAGGGCCTAACAAGCCCACAGCAAGTTAAGCGACCACCAGCATCACATTTGGGCATGGCTTCAAGCCCCAACTGTTCTACTTTGGATGCAGATCCTGTTAGCTTAAAAAGCATCCAAGTTTGACAATCACAGAGAACATCTGTGTGAATGTTTTAAATACAAGCTTTTACTTAATATATAGCCATCGTCATCACAATGTCCTCACCCAAAGCCTTCACACTGACAGAGTTATCTAGGAGTCAACTCACCTGTGAGTAGAATGGTAAAATCCCAGCCGCAGGCCACCTGTTGGATGGGACAACCCAGAAGGGATTTGCAGGGGGTAAAATAGAGAACATCTTCTGTATGACCAAGCCCCAGTTGTCCATCTTTGTTCAGGCCACAAACAAAAAGACCTCCTGCATCTACAAAATATAAAGATGATAACGTGCCCAGCGAAAAGTGCAGCTGCCAAAGTGAGCCAGTACTTACAGTCACAGACCAATATCTTCTTTCTCCCACAAATTCATAAGCTAAATATGTTCCTGTGTTCTGCATCCAAATGACACAAGGCCAACAGCCTTAAATCTAATATCTATATGGAAACTCTGAGTCCTGGAGCAGTGGCCAGTCTACCATCAAACTGAGCATCTGCTGTACCACAGAAAGCCAACACTTAAGGATGTGCCAGGTACTATTCTAAGAACTGTATGCGCACAGCCAGCCTACCCTTCAGGCACGGTGTCAACAGTACTTTCATTCATGAGAATGAGCTAATTTTAAATTCCTTGAAAATGAGAAAATTTAACAGTAAAGTATTTATGATACTAATCCAGGCTGGCTTATATTCATTTTTCTGCCAAAACAGATATAAAATAAACTTTTAAGTACTTCTTTATGGAAGAAATGGTCTATAAAAGTGCCAAGAACAAATGAAAGTCACAACACAGGCCCATTATCTCACTGATTCGCCTCACCCACTATTACTATCAACAAGGGACAGATCAGGAACTCATTGAACCAAAACCATCCAGCTAACAATGCACAGAACCAGGCACTTGGAGTCCAGAGTTCATGTTCTCAACAAGATGCCCTTCTTGGCAATAGTGACACACTTGAAGTACTTGGTAGGTACTATCCTAGATACTCTGAGCGAAGATTAAAGGATCTTATTAAAAATTAAGTTAATTAAAAGGTTCTTATTCTCCAGGAATAGTCAACCTCCTTGCAAAGACTTCTAACACAGAGGTGAAAGTTAAGTAGTAACATATGTTATTAAATGCTATTGCAGCTTTCCACCAATTTGTCCTGAAACATCAAAAAACCAGCATTCCTCTTTAAGCTTCTTTTCTGTAATGCCCAGGTAAGAGTGGGTGGGCATGACCTCAAAGATCTCTGAAGTTCTTCTGACTCTGACAATCTAAGATTTTCTAATGTTAATGTGGCTCTCCTTCAAAAACATTTCCTCTGCAAAATGCAAAAGGCTCAAAGATGACAGCAGAACATCCCATGGGAAATAGCCTATGCAAAACAAGAGACGATGGACGTTTAGGATAAGTTACCTGTGACCACAGCAGAATGGCCCCCTCCACCCGTGATTCTCCTAATGCACTTAGGTCTGCAGAAGTCAGTCAGCTGTTGGGGCAAAGGCACATCTTCCTTATGGCCAAGGCCAAGCTGCCCGTAGCTGTTCGCACCCTAGAGATAAAATAAGTCAAAGGTGAAAAAGTCGCAACCATCAACATCTATCTACTTGTCTCTAGTTCCTCATCCCAACAGTGCTCTCAGAGTCTCTAACAGCTGAGATGTCAGAGGCTGCCTTCGGAGGTTGTTACATGCATCCCACATTTTGATGGTGGCCCTCTGCTTAGAAATCAGGGTTTCCATAAGATCAGAGCCCTCAGCATCCACAACTTACCCCATGATATTCCCCAATCTTTCCCTTCCAATGCTCCAACCCCACGTATAGCCACTGGGAGACAGGGTTCCTTCTGACAAAGGTAACCACCTGGATGGCTACGGACAAGAACAGGAAAAGGAACAAAATGAGCGGTGCTTGCCTCTTCTCTCCACATTCTCACTGGGAAAACTGGCAATGGCTTTCTGTCACCAAAGCTAGCTAAGGATGTATGTCCTCAAACAAGGTGAACCATTATCTCAAAGAGATCTGCAACGATCTCTAAGTCCAGTGTTCCGTGACTCTAAGATTCACACCAAATTCCTGTAAGGAACTAGATCTTCCCTTGGTAGGAAATATGTCTATTGTTGTTATAACAAAAGTTCATAATCCTTAACTTGGAATTCTTGCAGCCAGATTCAGAATTTTATAGATATAAGAAAAGTAATATATTGCTCATACTGCAGCAAGATCCAGAGGCAGCATGCGACAAGCAAAATGGAACAATTTTGCAATAAAAGCTGTAAATATAACAAATGTGTAGGGACTATAAACAGCCTGACGTCCAGTAAAGTTTGAGTGTTTAGACTTGAAGATAAGGGATTGTGAATCTGCATGGATAATCATGTTAGAATTTCAAAATTTTAAGGCTAACCTTATGGCATTAAACTGTTGCTTAAACCGTTACTCTTAATGCCATTATTCCATATTAGAGCACCTAGCCAATTCCTGGCTGCGCCACTTCTGATCTCATTCCCTGTTAATGCTCCTACAAAGGTGGCAGAAGCTGGTTCAAATGCTCAGGCCCCTGCCACATACATGTGAGACCCAGATGGAGTTCCAAGCTCCAGACTTTGGCTTGTACCACTGAAGCCATTTGGAGAATGAACCAGTGGATGGAAGATTCTCTCTTTCCCTGTCACTCCCCTAACCCCTCCCTCTCTCCCTCTTCCTTTTGATTCGCTGCCTTCTACTTTTCAAATAATAAATCTTTCTTTAAAAGTTTCAAAAATCCTTATAACTTTTTCAAGACCAATTCTTCCTAGACATGAATAGTAAAACTTGTACTACCTCACTGGCCAGAAGTTCCTGGCTCCTGGCTTCAACCTGAGTCCTAGCTGCTCTGGATATTCATAGGCTCAATCAATGAACAGGAAATATCACTTGCCCATTCTGTGTGCGCGTGCACGTGTGTGTGTGTGCGTGCGCACATGTGCACATGTGTGACTTTCAAATAAATAAATGGGTAAATAAAAAATTCAAATGAAAATATGTTCTTGAGTGTGGTCTTTTAGCCTAGTGGTTAAGACATCGGATGGGACACCCACATCCCATACCACAGTCCTAGCTCCACTCCCAATTACAATGTCCTGCCAAGTTTAGACCTGGAAAGCAGCAAGTGGTTGAGTGATGCAGATGTCTGCTACACCATATGACACCGGACCCAGCACAGTTATCTTTAATTCCTATCCAAAGGAAAGAGGTGTAGAGAATGTAGTCAAAATAAAACTCTGGACCTTTGAAAAAAAATTCTCATCCAAGAAAGACACTGCCACTTCATTTTCACTCTGTTTCACAGACGAAGAAACAGAACTCAGGGAGGTTAAGCAACTTTCCACTGTTAATTGATCAGCACTAATTGCTCGATGGCTCCCCATCACCAGGGCTGCAGGCAATGATGAGAAAACCCTGCTCCTTTCACCATTCCGTAACGTGCCTTTAAGTAAAACATGGAAAGGGACATGCGAGGAACTAGTCCTGGCTTTCCCTAATGAGACACTAAGGATATGACCCTACCTAAACAGCACCTGCCTTTTTGACTTTCTCTCTTTACCACTTTCTCACTATCCTTGCCATCACTTACATTTACTTGCTCCCTGTCTAGCTCCTCAAGGGAAGGTAAACTTCATGAAGGCAAGAACTCTGCTCAGTTATTTCCCCTGTAACTGGACTGGTCCCAAAGAAGATGTGCACTGATCTACAAGGCAAATGCAAAACATAGCTCATGACCCTCTACCCAGGAAAGAGCAAAGGCAAGACTGTGTAAAGGCCCAAGATGTCTCAGCCAGCTCTGAGATTTCGGTGGCTGTCCCCCTCTTGAGGTTACAAGCTCCTGCACACCTGATACAAAAAGGAGACACAGGGCAGTCTGGCACTCAAATTACAAAATGCAGCAAAAGGTGCTAAATTCAGCAAAAGGTAAGATCACCTATTATTAACAATCTTTGCCTCCCTTTTTTTTAATTTTTTTTCTTAAAGATTTATTTTTATTATTTTCTTACTGGAAAGGCAGATATACAGGGAGGAGAGACAGAGAGGAAGATCTTCCATCCGATGATTCACTCCCTAAGTGAGCACAACGGGTCGATACTATGCCGATCCGAAGCCAGGAGCCTCTTCCGGGTCTCCCACGCGGGTGCAGGTTCCAAAGCTTTGGGCCATCCTCGACTGCTTTCCTGGGCCACAGGCAGGAAGCTGGAAGGGAAGCAGGGCTGCCGGGATTAGAACCGGCGCCCATATGGGATCCTGGGCGTGCAAGGCGAGGACCTTAACCACTTGTGCCACTGTGCCGGGCCCTTTGCCTCCCTTTCTTACAAATATCACAGACGCATCACACAACCACAGAGAGATAAGTATGTTGTTACAGACTCCACTGTGTGCACCTAAAATATGCTTGATGAGGCTCTAACCCCCAGTACCTCAGCACAGAACTGTATTGGAGAGATGGCCTTTAATGAGGCAGTGAAAGCAGAAATGCGATCTTCAGGCAGGGGTCTGAATCCAATACAACTGCTGTCCTTCCAGAAAGAGACACCCAGGGATGCTCATCTTTGAAGAAAAGCCACTGGAGGACACGCACACAGCGAGAAGGTGGTGTCTGCAAGCCAGAGATGCCTTATGGAAACAAACCCGCCGCCGCGGCCTCCATCTCTGCCTATTAAGCTCAGAAATTTCTGTTGCTGAAGCCTCCCAGTCGGTGTACTTTTTATGGCAGTCCCAGCTGAGGAATACACCCCCACATGGAGGCTGCCGCAGCTACAACACACACCGTCAGGCCTTCATGCACAGCAGTTTGGCGAGTTCTGCAAAATTTCCGTCGCAGCACAAAAGGCATATCTGAAAGACTTTTTCTCCCGCATGTGTCACCTCTACACACCAACCATTCAATCCCTACGCCCCCCCACAGCTCAAGCGCCACCTCCATGTCGCTCAGATGGCTACACTGCTGCGGCCGCATGTGCTCTCCCTTCTGCCAAACTGTTGCCTCGCACTCAACAGGTGCCACCTTGGACTGACAGCTACTTCTGAAAACCTGGACAACAAAGACTGATTGCAACAGCAATCTAAGTGTCCCTCCCCTTGACTTGGAAACTAATATCTGTTACTCTTGGCATTTCCCAAACACGAGACCACGGGCCGGGTACAAAGGTACTCATTCATTCATTCATTCACTCATTTGTCAACAAATGCTTCCTGAAGACAAATGAGCCTGCCAGGCCCCACGCAAGATCTTCTGAATCAGAGACAGGAGCCCCCTTGCGATGCAGACATCCCAGTCAAGGGGTTGGCACAGCTGGCATGCGACCTATGAAGAGCCACAAGACGTCGCCAGTTCAGGAACACAAAGCCTCCACTCCGCCCCCACGGAAAGACGACCCTTGCCTCTCCCATCGCGTCCGCCAGACCAGCGCCATTCGGACTCCCACGCCCCAGCACAGGCATGCTCCGGGGGTCACAGCAGGGCATCGGCCAATGCGCGGGGTCTCTGCAGGTCTCACACCCAGAGGATGCTCTGTCAGGCTGCGGTGGGCTGCGGAAGGGCCTCAGTCCTCCAGGCCACCGGAGGGTGGGGGCACCGACGGAGGGGGGAGCTCCTCTCTCTCCTTGGAGCTCTGCACGCGATCTCCCCAGGCGCTCCTCCGTGAAGCAGCTTCTCTCGCGCCAGCCTCAGCCCCTCCATGCTCACCCCCACCAACCTGCAGGCTCCCAAGTCGCTCGCCACTCGTGGACCCTTTCCCAACCCTCCCTCGCCTCAGCTCCAGCCCAGAGCCGGACTCGGACTCGTGCCGCCCACGCCGGCGGCTTCCCGATCCCGGGGCCCTTCAGCCCCTGCCCCTGCCCGGGGGAGGAGTCACGTACCCAGGCGAAGAGCGCGGCCGCGGCGGGGGCGGCCTCCGAGGCGCGCGACTCGCGCTCCATGCGGGGAAGCTCCGCCGGCGTTTCCGGGAGCGCCGGCGCGGGGGCGGGGCCTCCGGGGCGGGGCCTGCGCCGCCCGGGCCTCGGCGTTCGAGGGAGCGGGCGACGACCCCGGGAGGCGGAGGGAAGGGAAGGGTGTTCCGTGGGCAGGCCCCGGCTGCAGGAGAGGGATGCGAGCAGCCGCGCCCTCGGACAGCCGCAAGCGCTCGCGGGCAGAGCCGGCCTAAAGCTCCGCAGTCTGCGCCCCGGCCTTTCTCCCTAGCCCTCGCCCTCCTCGGTGTTAGATGTCCGGCGCTTGGTAGCTAACATAGGTCCTTCACGCAGTCGCACTGCATCCCAAAAGGTCAGGCAGGAATGGTGTCACCAGGTGAACCGGGAGGGAATTGAGGCCGTGGGACGGGGCTTTGCAGAGTCCTGCCGAGGGAGACGAGGCGGGGAGCCGACTCGAGGGTGCTTTGCAAAACCTTAGAAGCCTTTAGGAATGAGTCGGTACCCTCGCGTCGCTGTCGTCGCCCTCCACACCGGGCTGGGAGCCAGAGCTTGCGCCCACCAACTCTGGGCTGAGACGGCCACTTGGCGCGCTTACCTCCAGCAGTGCCTCACCCTCCATGCCCAGTCCTGCCCGGCCCTGAGCCGAGTGACGATCCAAGCGGCATCATTTGCACCCGACTTAGATTTTGCTGAAGAAATGGCGCTTACCAGACACCGCCTTGCTCGTGGGTGTTAGGCAGGCCCGGCACACTTGCTGAAGAACAGCGTGACTATGCGTTTGGGGAACGTGGAGCTGGGGTTTGGAACAGATGGGGTTGCAGTAGATCCTCGTCCGCACCGGCCCTGCACTGACCCAGACCATCACCTTAGGTACCTGAGAGTCCCCGGAAAGGGTCTTAGATGGGCCCTTACAGAGTTCTTTCCCGTTCCTTCCTTCCACTGTTCTCTGTGTTTCTGCCGTTAATGACTGTCCCCTGGAAACCCTGACACCTTTGAAACATACGTGAGAGCCTGCGCATGGCTCAACTAGCTGATCCTCTGCCTGAGCCAGCATCCCATGTAGGTGCCAGTTCATGGCCTGGCTGCTCCACTTTCCATCCAACTCCCTGCCTGTGGCCTGGGAAAGCAGTCAAGGGCGCTCCAAAGCCTTGGGACCCTGTACCAGGAAGAGATTTCTGACTCCTGGCTTCGAATCAGCTCTCCTTTGTCCGATTTGGAGAGTGAACCAATGGATAAAAGACCTTTCTCTGTTTCTCCTTCTCTCTTTAAATGTACCTTTCAAATAAAAACAAATCTTAAAAAAAAAAAAAAGGTAGAACCTCCATGACCTTGCTAGGAACGAAGCATCTCTACGTTCTCCAGAGTCCTGAAGTGAGCAGGACTGCTGTTTGTGAGTGGGCTTTTTATTCCTTTCTTCTTTTTTTTCTTTCTTTTTTTTAAAAAATATATTTTTTTATTGAAAGGCAGATTTTACAGAGAGGAGACAGAAAGATTTTCCATGCGCTGGTTCGCTCCCGAAGTGGCCACAGCGGCCAGAGCTAAGCCAATCTGAAGCCAGGAGCCTGGAGCTCCTTCCAGATCTCCCACACAGGTACAGGGTACCAAGGCTTAGGGCTGTCTTTCACTGCTTTCCCAGGCCCCAGGATCGAAAGTGGAACAGACTGAGCGTGAACCGACATCCATATGGGATCCCAGTGTATGCAAGGTGAGGGTTTAGCCATTGAGCCATTATGCCAGACCCCTTTCTGTTTTTCAAATTTATTTTTTTAAATGATTTATTTTTTTTATTGGAAAGACAGATATACAGAGAAGAGGAGAGACAGAGAGGAAGATCTTCCATCCGATGATTTACTCCCCAAGTGAGCGCAACGGCCAATGCTATGCCGATCCAAAGCCAGGAACCTCTTCCAGGTCACCCACACGGGTGCAGGATCCCAAAGCTTTGGGCCGTCCTCGACTGCTTTCCCGGGCCACAGGCAGGGAGCTATAAGGGAAGCGGGGCTGCTGGGATTAGAACCGGCGCCCATGTGGGATCCTGGGCGTGCAAGGCGAGGACCTTAATCACTGCGCCATCATGCCGGGCCCTCAAATTTATTTTTAATTAATGAAAGCATTGCATGTGTTTGCATTGTATAAGGTGATGTGATTACTCCTTTTAAGCATGTGAAATAGCATGTAAAAATCGGACCCTTGCCATCTCTTTTGGCTGAGTTCCCAAGGCAATGAAATGCCAATGAGCAATGATTTCTGTATTATAAAGTGAGGTGCAAGACCACCATGGCAGAACTCGCAAAGCAGTTGTCTAGAAACCAGCTTCCATTCTACAAAACAAGTCAGAGATGCTGAGAGAATTCTAACAGGCTGTGTGACCACAGTTGTCCATGTTGTGTTAGTACTACTTGTTCATGTGTAAGGAAAGGCACTGCCTGGGGCCCTGAAGGAGCTTGGTGTGTTTCCATCCAGACTGGGGCCTGAGTGGGCTGCTGTTCAGTTCGTTTCTTTCTGAGAAGTCCAGTGATCTGTGGCAGCTTGGGTACTCTGATAGTTGAGAAAAGAGAAATGCTTTGGGAAAGTTTTAAACACACAGAATTTTCCAAGACAAAGAATGTCTGAATATCTGAAGTAAATTGGCCGAGAATAGTCTTGGGTCCCTATCCAAGGGAATCTGGGTGGGGAAGAAGTGAATGATGCCCATGGAAAAGTTAGCAACTGTATTCTCAGAGACTGAGCGTAGTGAATTCAAAGAGGCAGTTATCCACATCAAGAGACCCTGATGGCAGGGAAAGTCTTGCAAAATATGCACAGGAGAATGCATCCACGTGAAACACAGAAACCACTAATGGCAAATCTTTGCAGCATTAGACTGGAAAGATTTTTCTACACCTTACCTCTCTTCCGCACTGCTACTCCCCAGTTGAAAAGGATCGAAGGCATCCCAGGGAGTAGGGAAGAAGTAAGGAAAGAAGCCAAGAAATGAAAGAAGTATACTTACCTCCTTTTTCATTTCTGCAAGAAGACAAGAACTTTAACCTTAAGAACTTTAATTTTTACACAGGGCTGGACTTTTTAATGTTGAGGAGAAATTGTGTGCATGAGGTGAGACTTTAGAAAATAAGAACTTTCCTATTTGTGAGTAAAAAGAGTGAAGGCAGTATGCTGAGTTTTTTTCCAAAGGCACTGGCAAGAACTACCATACAGAGCCAGCTATTATACATTCCAAAATAGTTCAATTTAACTCCTTGAATGTACATCAGTACTTTAAACTACTCTTGTATTGTTAAGTTATATTCCTTAATACAAGATCCTGGAAGTGTTGAAATAATGCAACCATTTCAACAATGTACATGCTACTGACTTATCCTTCCAGGAACTTTCTGATTGTGTCTTGAAGGGGACAGGATTGAAACTATTTGATGATATCACATTCAGGTATGTTGTCTTCCCAAAAAAATGGAAGCATAAAGTATTAGGACAATACAGATTATACTTACATTTATCTTCCCATGCAGGATACAATTGTTTCATTTATTATGTTGTTTGATCCTTCAAGTACTACTAGCATAAATGTTATTAGAGTCATTATTTTCTAGATGAGGAAACTGAGGCACAAGGTAGTGCAATGATTTACTCCAAGGTCAGATTTATGCTTTTGATAAAAATTAACTGGCTGCTAACCAACTCACCAGAAAGTTGACAGAAAATACATTTTAAATCTTACTAGAGAACAATGAAAGTCATTAGAACTGAGGGATAGTTTTAGCAATCTTGGAGAGCTTGGTGGGGGTGGGTGGGAAGAAGAGTGAAGAGTGAAGAAAAGGACAGAAATAGGAGTCCAAGGCCCCCAAAGAAGTAATCCCATCACACACACATAGCTTCCAGCTTGGGTTCCTAAAGAGCCACAGCTTAGGCATAGAGGATCAGTTGAAAATAGACCAGCCACCCTAATGACTTAAATTCATCTTCTCATTGGTTCAATTCCTAGAGTTTCCATGTATTAAGTTTATACTGTCTGCTTGAAGCAAAAGCTAATCCATCTAGAAGATAATAACATCAAGAAGCTGGGAGGAGTGGCCAGAGGTGGGAGGGCGTGGTGTAGGGAATGTGATGATCTAGTGGCTAAATCCTCGCCTTGCATGCCCAGGAGCCCATACAGATGCCAGTTTGTGTCCTGGCTGTTACACTTGCCATCCAGCTCCTTGCTTGTGGACTGGGAAGATAGTAGAGAATGGCCCAAAGCCTTGGGACCCTGCACCCATGTGGGAGACCTGGAAGAAGTTCCTGACTCCTGGCTTCAGATCAACTCAACTCCAGTCATTACAGCAAAATGGAGAGTGAATCAGCAGATGGAAGATATTTCTGTCTGTTTTTCCTTCTCTCTATAAATCAGTCTTTCAATGTAAAAAAAAAAATCTAAAAACAATTTTCAAGAAAGAAAAAGTAATGGGGGAATCTCTGATTAGATTTGTGATTATATTAATGATTTGTTACATGCAGAGGTTTCTCTTTACAGACTCTTCCCACAGTATTGCTTATCCAAGAACCCAGAGTAAAATAGACTTATTTTACTTTAACAGATGAGAGACGTGAGATTGGGACTTGGCAAGGAACTCCACAGAATGGTGAGTAGTTCTGGGTGTGTTGGGTTTCTATTAAAGTCTCATAACCATGGGCTTTTTAAGAAGTTAGAGATATGATGGAGTTCTTAATATAGTAGAACTGATAGTACACAAAAATATAAATCCACATTGACATGTTTGACAGTGATAAATACTCATTGATAACATGAATTGTATGATCATTTAGTACACCATTCTTGCAATTCATAAATGTGTATTACATAGAAAATTAGCTAAAATAGACCACATTGTCTTTACATTAGGAAAATGAAGCATGGGTTCTATTATACAGAAAATTCTCAGTAGTTTTTTTCCCCTCTTCAATTTTGAATGCAACTTAAAAAATAACAAAAATTCTCTGTATGTTGGTGTGTCATTAATAAATTATGCATGTATAAAATAAGTGAAATATGTAATAAAGAAATGTGGGCAAGTGGAAGGCCAGACTTCACTAGAACCTTGTCTAAAACCCAATGGCATGTATGAGAACTGGGCCTGAAGGTGGATTAAGTGGAGAAACTTGGGACACTCCCCTGGTGAGTCATAGCTCCTGCTGGTGAACATGTGGTCCAGACCTGGGGGTCGGACAAGCTGGGCATAGTAGCTCCAACAGCTGGCTAATGTGTCAATTGGTAATGGAACAGGGTGGACCAGGCAGGACTGAGCAAACCTTAGCCCACAAGCGAAACTAGAGACCAGAACAGAGCAAAGGTCATGAGAGCTAGGCTCTTGCACCTACTGGTCTGCATGAGCCAGGAACACTAAGCCACAGTGTCTAAGGGAGAGGTTGGGACAGGTGAGGGGCTGAGCCAAGCTGAATCAGAGCAACTGCTGGCATGCGTGTGATCTATAGCTGGGAACAGGCCCGGTTGGAGAACTAAGGGTAAAACCCTACCTGGGTTGAGGTTCCACCAACAGGCACGTAGGCTGGAATGGGGGCTGCATTCTGATCTGGAAACAGTGGTAGTCTCCCTTGGCACAAGTGTGGACTGGGGGATTGGATGCACCGAGCCGGGCCAGACTCCAACACCCTCTGGTGTTCTGGAGGATCAGGGCAGATGTGCGATGGACTAGGCAAGGTCTCAAACCCCTACTGAGCCATGTGTGAGCCATATGTGAGTATGGACAAGCCATGGCTGGGCTGAAACATCCAACAGCAAGGACCAGTTTGGGTTGAAGGCCAGTCAGGAAAAGCCATTGTTCCTGCTAGGACAGGAGGTGAACTGAGTAGGGCTGGCTCATGCAACCCCTGGTATGCGCAAAAACTGACATTGGGAGAGGTTCTGATGGAGTAGCCTGGGCAACTCCTCTGATAGGACACAGTTCCAGCAGGAACATGATAGGAAACAGCCCAAAATAAGCCATGGAAAGTTACCCACTGGCATACATTTGGCATGGGTCGGGAGCAGACCAGGCTGAATCAGTTCACGTCATCCACTGGCAAATCTAAGTACCAGAACAGTGTGGGGTCGAGTCAGGTTTGGTAGCAACAAAAAACAGTGCACAATGTGGAATGCCAAGGTGAGGTTGCCTGTACCAGATGTGACCGCAGCACCCATCCAGCACACGTGAGAACCAGGAAGGGAGGGGGCAGAGCTGGCAGGGGGAATAAGAAGGGGTTCCTTTGCTGGATAGCTACTCCCACTGGAGAACATGAGCTGGAATGGGGGCAGATCAGACTAAGCAGGGCTACAACACCTGTGTACATCATGTGACCTAGATCAGGGAAAAGCCAGGCTGGACTGATTATTCCTACTGGTGCAAACAAAATTAGAGTGGGTGAGGGTTGTTTGGGTTTAGCCACATTATCAGCTGGTAGAAGCTGGCACTGGGGCTGATTCTGTCAAGTCAAGCCACAGAATTACCTGGAGAGTGCATAATCTGGGAGTAGGAGACCTGGGAGGGAAATAGTGGGCTCCTCCCTCTTGGGTTACCACTCCCACAGGAGGGCACAAAAAACTAGGATAGGGGCTGGGGTGGCTAGACAGACACCCAACAGCATCTGTGTGGGCTGCATAGTGGAGCTGGTTAGATGGGACTAAGCTTTAATATCCATTGACATGTACGAAAGCCGAATGGGGTGTGAGACAGACTGGACTACTGCTACACATGCTGGCAAACCAGGGTAGGGGGCAGCTTTGGTGGGGGTTATTGCGGGTCACTCCAACTAGGCTGCAGCTCCCACTGGTTTATGTGAGGGACGAGTATGTGCTAGGCAGAACCAGGCTGGACTGCAACACCCATTGGTTCCAGTGGAAGTTGGGGCTGAAAACAGAACCAACCCAGCAATTGCAACCACCAGCTGATCAGGGCAATGGACTGTGCCAGGCCCTGTACTTGCTAGTACATACAAGAATCTGGTCTGAGAACACCTCAGACAAAGTTTTTTTGGGGATCTCCCCAGTCGAAATGCTGGACTCAACCCTAACCAAGAGAAGAGAGAAGACAGAACAGGTCAATCAACCATCTCAGCTATATGTTGGCAGCGAAATACGAGGCAAACAGAGACTCTTTGATGGACTATGTCAATCAGTGGATTCTTCAAAGACCTCATAGTGCTTGGAGTGGCAAGATTGGCAGCGATTCAGTAATTAGTGAACTATCAAAACCACTTGAGCAAAAACTTTGGAGCATACCCTACATCCGGGACCTGGGGAGGGTGGAAAATTGAGTGGGCCTTTTCCCTTAATACCCACCCTTTAAACATGAAGCAAACAATATGGAAATAATAGTCTTACCCACTTTCCTACAGCCCTTGAACCTTTTTACCCTAATTAACTATGTAAAGATTGTCAAAAATATAATAAAAAAGAAAAAAAAAGGAATGTGGGCATTCTGACAGTTTTTGTAATTTATTTAACATTAGAATGTTTGTGAGTAGTGATATACTGATAAAGAATTTTGAACCACATTATAATTCAATTTTCTCATGTTTGAAGAAATGTTAATAAACTCCTAGAATCTTTGAAGACACACACAAAAAAAGAACCACGAAAATTATGAGACTCTTAGAACTTTTGATTTACCAAATATCACAAATATAGAGATTAGAAAAAATACCACAGTTCTTCATTAAATATCTTTATTATGACATTGTGGACTACAGGGTTGTATCCCTAACATTTATTCTGGTGTACTTTAGTCACAGAGTGATTTTCAATGCAGTATTTTAAAAACTGGTCAGTATGATTCTTCACCATGATCAAAGTTATATGAAAATAAACAAGTATAATAGGCCTTATCTATGTATTCTGATTTGTTTATGAAATATTTCCTTACTAGCACAGACTAATTATAAACTAGTTTACCAATATGTCAAGTGATTACAGATCAACATATCCATTTACTACCAATTGTATACTTAATAGATAATTAGCTGTTAAAATTTATAAGAATATCATGACTTATACTTCCAAATACTATTGTCTTATAACATAAAATGAAATACATTTTTAAGTTTATTATAATTTCTTTTGAGATCTGAACAAGTTTGAAAACAAAACATGTTAAATTATATGCAATTTGACTATTGATGTGGGGAAAAAGAAGAGCACATTTTAAAGTAGCTGATTAACTAGAGAAAACTGAAACATGACCCTTGTCATTACCATTAACAGGAAGAAGCTGACAGTGTGTAATGTTTAGGTGCTGAGAAGAAGCCCCTATGCTGCTAAATCTATATTGTGAAATCTACTCATTTTGTATAAATAAAAAAATACTCAGGTTTTCCTAAGTTCTTTTCAGACCTGGTAAATTTGAGATAGTTGACAGATCTGTTATGTTACACAATCTTACTTCATTCTGTGAGTGGTGTCATATAAAGTTACACAACATTGATCTAATTTATTGGAACTCAAGATGAATATATGCAGCAGGCAGTAGGAATAAAGAAGCAAAAGTTCTTGAAAGATACCAAGGTGAGAAGTAGAAATACAGGAACAATCCAAAATAAGAACTGAAGTCATGAATGTGGATAACATTTCCCATGAACAGATGGCTGCTCTAGGGGCTTAAAAATGGAAATGTGAGAAATGTCTTCCTTTAGTGGAAGGGTCAGAGAGTGGAAGAGAGCAAATTAAAAAGACACACGCACGTATTAGAGAGTTCTGTTTCAGTCATTTAGAATTATGATATAGGGTCACCTGCAGCACCAGCATTCTATAGGGTGCTGGTTCATGTCCTGACTGCTCCACTTCAAACCCAGCTCCCTTTTAAAGGCCTGATATATAGCAGAAAATGACCCAACTGTTTGCATCCCTGCCACCCCCATGGGAGACCCAGATGAAGCTCCTGGCTCCTGGTTTTGGTGTAGTCCAATACTGACCATTGCAATCACTGAGAGATAAACCAGCAGATGGGGGGGGGAAACTCCCACTGTTACTCCATCCCTCTCTCCCTCTCTCTAACTTTGAATTTCAAAGATAATCATTTTTTAAAAAAATTCTGCGCCCTCAACTGAACTTGAACTTTGGTCATGCAACAAGGTGGAGGAATCCACCAAGGGGGGGTGCGGTTATGGGAGGGGTGGTGGGAATCCCAGTACCTATAAAACTGTGTCACATAATACAATGTTATTAAAAAAAAAATTCTGCTCCCATCTCAATAAAAAAAATTACATTGCTTATTCCCTATGCTTCTGCTAATAACTACACAAAAAACATCCTTACAACTTCTTGTGTTATGTAGTCTCCATCCTAAACTGCTTTTCTTTACTTTCTTGATTCCTTCCCTTTCCCTCTTCTGCCTGCCCTCACTACTTTCCTTGCCTTCTGAACTAAAGCATTTATCATTGCTTTTCCAACCTTAATTTTGTGTTTCTCTTATCTCAGTTTGAGCCCTCTGTTTGACATCACCCCCTGCTAGCCTGAAGATAATCCCATCACACTAACTGAGAATGCTTCTGTGTACAGAGCTTTGCAGGTGGCACCCACACTGATTTCCCTTTGGACTCTTGAGGAGGACAAATAATCTAGAACAAAACTAGCATCATGCAGAGTCAGGGAAAGGAAAACAAGTTTTAAGGAGGACAGTGTTGTGGCAAGAAATCTCCTTGCTTTCAAAATAGTCCCAAATTATTAGTCTGAAGAATTATGCCTCAATCAACCTTTCCAGACTTAGCTACTCCTATATTTCCCGGAAAGATACTGCACTAGAAACCAGACTACCAATTCTTTACTAGTTATGCCCCACAAACAGAAACCTCTATAAGTTGGCTCGTGTTTGCTGGGCTGATAACTGACCTATTACATTTCTGTGTGTGAATGTGACTGAGCTTGGCATAAATTCAGCAGTAAGTAACAGATACTTTATAACTAAGGTAACAATATAGGCCAGAGCTCTGTTACACTCATGAAAGTATTCTAAATAATCATAAAAGTTATCTTAGTCAAGAAGAATTGGAAAAAATGACTGAGATGAGTTCTATACATTGGGTCAAACAATTTTTTCTATGAAAAGTAAGTGGTCAGTAATTGTACAGTGTATAAATCATATTTCACTAAATCATTACTTAAAACGAAGACAAAAATAATTAGCAGATAAAGAATTCAGATAATGATTAGCAAATTTATACCCTAGTGATTCGTTAAGGAATGGAATTATGAATATATCACTTAGCCAGAAGCTGTTATCCTTCCACGGTTAGATCTTCAAAAACTGCAAAAGTTGGCCATTGCTGGCCTCTGACTTGATGCTCAGATGGTGTTCTGAGGACTGGAGACTGTCAGATACTCAGCTGCCTGCTGACCTTAGAAAGGGCATCACTGACAACATCGAGATCATGCCGCAGCTCGTTCATGGCACTAGTTATGCTTTTGGTGTCTTTCAGGATCTGAATGCTCCGTGTGTAGGGATTATATTTCACTCCAAATGGACGCTTCATTGTTTTGGTAAATTCCCTATTTAAGAAAACAAATAAGAGATCATAAATTCCTAGGGGGAAAATCATGGAAACTAAGCAAACAACATATTATACATCTCACACCCTAGGCAAAAGACAAATCACATTTGGTTACACATACAAACAACCAATTTGACCTGCTCTCCCCTGGAATCCCGCAGAGCTGGAAAACCTAAAATAATCATGGATCCATTCACCAAAGTATTATTAGAGAAATCCTGGAAATGACTTTTGTTATTTATGGCTCATTACCATAATTATTTGCTTCATGTTTTTGGCTATAGTAAGAAGACCAACCTCAGCAGCTTTACCAACAGACAATAGCAATGTGACCCCAAAAGTAACAGCCCCCTCAGTTATATCACTAAATCTACATACATGTATGTATAAATTATCATGTATGCAAGCACACACATGTGCATCCTCAACAAGCTAGGAACAGTCCTACCTCCTACATGTACATGTACATCCCTTTTGCTTAGAATGTTTTTCTTCAGCCTGCCCACAAATGACCTTAATTCTTCCTTTGCTACAAGCATTATGGTTCTATCACCTTTATCAAGCTAGTATTTGAACCTTGCATCTGATACCCCTAAGAAAGAAGTCACATTCCGGATGATTGCACATGATGAGTAGGAGCTAAAATCCAGATTGATTGCAGTCCACTTGGCCTACCCAGAGAGAACTATTTCTAATTTACACAAAGGTACCTTACATGATAGAGAAGACTCTACTAGTATTGTTACTTAGTTCTGTGCCTGGTCTAATTCCCCCACAAGAGTTAAATCTTTGGAAAATAAGGAACACATCCTCAACTTCAATCTGTCCTCATTCTTGAATGTGACCTTGTGGTCCCTTCCAGTAAATGTTTTGTTATTCTGGTTCTTTCTTTCCTTTTCTAATACCTCTGTCTTTATTCAGACTTTAATTTTCATCTAAAGTTTGCAGAATTTCCTAAAAAAGTTTCTCTGCCTCTAATTTCCTCCAGTTAAAATATAGCTGTGTCTCATTATATATCTATCTTGTATTTTTTTCAATCTGCTTACCTTTTTTGTGTAGTCTTTCAGTCTATAATTTGACATATCTAATTATTATATATCCTTTCTCAAATAACATTAAACTTTACCTGTTCCACCAACTGGAATTCATTGCTCTTGAATTTAGGCTGTCATCCCTTACAACATTGTTACAAGAAAACTTCCTACTGTTTATTTTTCCTGTTAGACCATAAATTTTCTGCTGTGAAGAAACAGGAAGAAACTAACTTCCTAGCATATCAGATTCATATATGCAGCTACCTAACATCATTAGATACAAAACACTCTAAATATTTATTATTAAATATATGTTGGCATTAATCACCCAGTGGGCACTTAATTATCTAGATTCTTCTATGACATTGCCATCATTGGACTCATCTCTTGCAGAAGAAAATGAAAACACTGGAAATAAATACTTAACCTCATCTTCTCCTTTGCATCTTCAAAGCTTTCAGACACAAAGTAGACATCCTGAAAAGTTGTGATGAGACATTCTTGTTTGCAGGTAGTCTTGGGATCAAAAGGCTTTACTTTGGCATGTCCAGAAAGCACATGCTAGAGAACAGAGTCAGTGGATTAAATAATATCTATTTTCATAACTCACACAGCTTCCAGAGTTGGCACACCTTTGAATGACTTATGTAATGATCCTAACCTACAACTCCACATTTAATTCCTTTTGCTCTATTTAACCCTTTTGCTCCATTTTCTGGTTTCCAGAAAAACAAATACATTGCTGTTTCCCACAAGTACCCCTCAAAATAATTTCCATAGCTGTATTATGTCTCTTCTCCATTCAAAAGGGTTTCAAGCATCTGTATTTATTCCTGAGTTGTACTGCCACCAAGTAGCAGGATTCTTGAAAGCGAGACAGTACCTTGGACAGTGTATTTCCACACAATCATCTTTAAATGGTTAAGTTTGTTCATTCACTGGATAAATAATAAATCTCAAGTAATTCCCCAGAAATTTAAAAAGTTGCTGCTAGCATATCAGAAATGGTAAACAAACAGCAAGACTTTGTATGTGAGCAAAAGCTTATTAAAACACTTTTTCTTTACAAGGAATTACATGTCTGTCACTATATACACATTAAACTAGGGTCTTCAAAAAATTCTTGGAAGATGCATATTATGAAAAAAAACTCTACCAAGGATTTAATTTTTGCATCAAAGTAAATATTGTTTAATTCCCCCTGTTCACATGGTAATAAAACTTAAAAATTAGGAAGGAAAGGAAAATGCCTTCAAGTAATGTTAAGTGCTCTCCCCAAGTATTTCCATGGTAAGCTCTTGTTCAAATACAAAGATCATTTCAGGTTGCATCAGTTATTTCAAGGTGAATACAATTCTGTGCAAAGATTTTAACTCTTACTTTGAGTTCACTGACAGAAGAAAGTAAGCCAGCGCCAAAGACTCTTAACTGTCCATCTTGTTTGCACAGCCCAAATTCCACAGTGAAAAAGTAGCACTGCAAAAGGACATCAGTATTACTTTCACGTGCTGAATCACTCCATTTAAAATGCATTTCAACTGTTAGTCACTGACCCAAAGCACAGCATAAAGCTCAGGATTATAGCCTGGTTCACAAATCTCATTCTAAACCAACACTGGCCAACCTTTTTGTTCTAATGATTCCTATAGACAATAAAAAAATCACTGAGGACTCTGAAGTTCTTTGATCGTAAGTTTTAGCAACCTGCATTGGCCAGGTTGAGAAGTAAAGGGGAGAAGAACTTTAAATGGTTATTAACTGGTTTTAAATATAGCAGACTCATTTTATAGTAACACAAATACTATTTTGGTATATTTTTGGTAAAAAAAAAATATTTCACACAACAAAAAGAAAATCAGTATTATGAGAAGCACTTAAAGTTTTATAAATTATAGTCAGATTCTAATTATGCATTACTGATGTCAGAACAGTATCTGGAATGATTGCCTCAAGCCAAGTTATGGTATTATTACAAATCTTTTTAATGTCTCCCTAGAGTTCAGCCAATATCTGGCTAGAACACATTTGGTCTGTTATATCTGCTTCTTTATTTAACCTGCTACATCTTGCTGTTTTGCTTCAAAGATTAAAATTCAACTTCACAATTATTAGTTGAAAAGAGGCTGAGTACTTTATAGCCTTTACAGATAATTGTAGATACTCTTTTTTTATATATGTACTCTTTTTGACACTACATCAAAATTCAACATGTAGCTTCTTCTAGTTCAGCTGCAGTATGGATTCTGACTTGTTTGCTATGTTAGAATCCACTTCACACTTCTAATGGATCCTTTACCTTTCAAGGATCCTGTGAAAGTATCTCAGGGACCCCCAGGTCACTGAACCACGTTATGAAAAGCACTGTTCTAATATCCAGGCTATTTTGTATCACCTTCTGTACCCTCACACCCCTGCTCTGGCTTTTTGTCATTTCCCAGTTGCATAAAAACGGCTTCTTGTTTGTCTTTCCTTATGTGCCCTAATCCCAACTTGCTCTTTCTTTCTTGACATATGAAAATAATACTCATTTTTCTCATCTGGTCTCTTTTCTACAAAAACTCCCCTCAACAGTTCTCTGCATTCCCAGGCATGCACTTCTCTATAGACTTTATCTTGCTCAAGCATAATAGTCTTCTCATGTGGCGTGCAAACTCCGTAAAGGAGGGATTAAGACTTACTCATCTTTGTATTCCCAGCACAGTGTCTGAAGAAGTATCTTAGCATCATTTTTATGGAACTTAGCATTTTGGTTGGAAAACAAAAGTTCCACAACCTGTTGATGTTATTATAATTTGTTTTCTCTACTTTAAGCTCATGTCTCCTTTTTGTAATACTTACAATTTACATCTTACATTAATTATCTAGATATTTAAATTAAATATTATGAGCAAAGGTGAAATTTCTACAATTTTGTATTTAATAACAACTTTTAAACTATATGAATACTTATGCATCCCATCTCAGCTGAGAATTACAGATCTATCCAGTTATTTCCAGATTGATACCGTTGCCAGTTTTTGAACAGCCTCCTCTGAAGCTCCAAGGGAAGCCAGGCCAATTTCTTGGGAGAATTGAGCAAAACTAGGCTCAGCCAAAAGGGGAACATGACCTAAGAGTTCATGGCAGGTATCCCTGAAACAGAAGAACAAATTTATCACATTGTGATGCTGAGCATCATGCAATCAATTCGAAACCCAATCTTGCTTTTATTTTTTTAGTTGATCAGGGATTTTAGGTAGTAGATCACAGGGTAAAAGATCACAAAGGCAAGTAATCAGATAAAGAAATAATTTGGGATTTATATATATATCCCAGATAAATTTCAAATACTCATATCTCCCAACCCTCCCCAAACCAGGGGTCGCCTTACCAGCCAGGATTTCTCTGATCACCCTTGTTATTCTACAACATCCCTCTATTCCCTCGGTTCTATTTTTTCCTTGACAATCATTATCTTTTGACATAACAAAAGATAATATGCATTTACTTCTGACATATAAGAAGATAACATGCATTTACCTATTTGGTTGTTATCTATATCCCCCAACTAGAACACAAGCTTTGTAATGACAGGAATTATCATCTTATTTTTTTCTATTATGTTCCCTTGCTTACAACAGCACCTGGTACCTTACACATTGTCAATTAATAGTAATAGTGATGGTGATGGTAATGCGTAAGGCATGCAATGGATGCTATGTGATGGGCAGTATTCCAAACACATCACACATGATACAAACCCCAAGTGATAGGTGCCATTGTTGTAATATATTTAATGAAGGGCTGCAGGAGAAACACTTACGGCTCTGGCGTATAGAAGGGATCTGAACTGTGCCTCACATATTGAGTGCAGTGAAAAACTCGAAAGGCTAAGCCTGATAAGAAATCTCTTGGCGATAGATAACCAGCCACAGGACGAATGGAAAAACCTGTGCGCTCTGCAAAGCAAAGATAAAAACACAGAAAATCTTCACCAGAACAGCTGTAGACCATTGTCAGCAACATTGTAATTCTGCTAGCAGCATCAGTTAACACCCTGAGAGGGCATACAAAACAAAATTTGTCATATGTATAGCAGGGAATCTCACACTCTCCCTTTCTCACTGATTCACCTTTCTTTTAAACACACACACACACACATATGTTTTCTTAAAAACATATATGTATGTTTTTATATATGTTTTCTATATATACCTCATATATATATTTTAAAAAATCAAAGTCTTTTTATTCTGTTTACTGTCTCCCTAAAGAATTTAGACTATCCCCTGATAGTCTTACTTTTCTTTCTACAAACTCATTGACAAAACTATTAATTTAGATGAGCACTGTTTCAACCTCTGTAAGTTTATTTTTATTCTTATTTTTATTTATATAAAATGAGTAGATACAGGTTTAGAAACATAAGGGTTCCTCCTTTCCCTTCCTCCTTCTCCCTGCCTTTCTCCCTACCTTTATTTGTCCCCCAAATTTTTACAATAGCATATTCATTTGCTTCGAAAGAACAAGTTTAACTTTCGCTATATAAAGATACTATAAAATAGTGAATGGAGGGAAAATATAAAATAATAAAATTAAATTAAAATGGAGATCCTACCATAACTCAGGTGTATAGACACAGGCTGTATACAGCAGTGTGCTAATCTCACAGAGCTCATTCTTCAATGCTCTGTGTATTAGTTGTCACAGATCAGAGAGAACATATGATATTTCTCTTAGGAGACTGGCTTATTTCATTAAGCATAATGGTGTACAGCTAGGCCCATCTTATTGCAAAAGATGATTTCATTCTTTTTATGACTGAGTAATACTCCATTGTGCATAGGTACCACATTTTCTTTATTCAGTCATCAGTTGATGGGTATCTGGGTTTGTTCCATATCTCAGCTACTGTGAATTGTGCTGCTATAAACCTAGGATCACAGGTAACATTGGATCTCATTTATTCTGAATAAATGAGATCCAGTTTTTGTGGAAACAATTTAATAATTTGGGAGTTGAACAGATATCATAGATTTCGGTAACTGTCTATGCAAAAAACATAAAAATAGTAATTTCGGACCATAATGGAAATAAGCTATTTTTAAGGCAAAAATCTAACTCATTTTCAGTAATGTTCTAATCTGCTGAGACAGAAGGGGGTATGTATTTTCCTTAATTATTGTAAACTCTGGAGATCACTGGTCATTTCACTTCCTCTGATAGCTAGGAAAAACAGAGAAAAACCGAAAGAAAAGAAGCTATGTTTACTTTTTGTTTCTGCCTCTAAGAGTGTACCTTCTTTCTTGGAAACTAATAAAATCTTATTGTGAAAAGAGGGTGCAGATGTCAGATGCTCCAGCCTTCCCCAAGAACCTTGACCCCTCACACCTGACCATCTGTTGTGCAGCTTCGGCATGAAAACCTCCCTGGGGAGGGAGATGAACCACATTCTGTTCTCAGATGGCTCATTCAACAGGGCAGGCCTTCTCCATTTTGAGTCAAAAGCTTTAGCTTCAATACAATAATACTGGAGGGTCACATTACCCAACAATCCTTTTGTCACAAAAGATGGCCTTTAAATATTTACATAAAGCTACATTGCCATTTTGTCCTGTAAGTCTCCAAGTTAAACACTTTAAGATTCCTTCAGTTTCACTTATGTGACACATTTTCAAGTCTCCTTATAATCCTGCTCACTTTCTCTTCTCTTTTTTTCAAGTAAAGAAAATTATTTGAACGTGGCGCTCGTCTTGATGTGATGCTTCAGGATAGAGTATAGGAAAATGCTGGTTTCCCTCACACATTATTCCTCTTTTAAAACTATTGTTATGGGGCCGGCATCATGGTGCAGAAGGTTATACCCACAACAGGAGATCCTACATTGGAGCACTGCTTCAAGTCCCAGCTGCACTGTTTCCTATCCAGCTCCCTGCTGCTGTGCCAGGGAAAGCAGCAGCAGATGGCCCAAGTGCTCAGACCTCTGCATCCAAATGTGCGACAAGATGAATCTTCAGCCTGGCCCAAACCTGACTGTCACAGCCATTTGGGATGTGAACCAATGGATGGAACATCTCTCTGTGTCTCTCTTTAATTCTGCCTTTGAAATCAATAAAATCTATCTTAAATACATATATTAAAATAATAATTTTTTTAAAAAAAAAACTGCCGTAATAGTAAAAGCACAGGTCCATGTTTGCCTTGGAAAAAGTTGGTTTGTTACCTTTTAAAAATTTTGAAATATCTTCCAATTGTGGGATATTGTCTTCCCGATATCCACAGTACTTGGACAGCAGAGGTAAGTTTTTGAGATACTCCCTGCAGGCATGGGTCGGATAGAGTTTATTGAGCTCCCGGAATACAGTTCCCCAGGTCTTAACCTCCTCTTCAGTGAATTCAACCTTGGGAATCGGGTCTCCACTAATGAAACAAAGGGAAAGAGTTATTTTTTAATTCATCTTCAGTAAATAGCAGCATTTATTTTGCTTGCTATTTACTTGGACAAATATGATTTACTCTATTATCTCAAAATTGCACACATTATTTCTATGATATACTTACTGTTTATAGTTCATTGCCAAGTCTGCAAAATATTTTCGTCTTTTGCGGTAGACATTGTCTTTGAAACCCTGAAGATCAAAGATGAGTTATTAAATACCCGCACTGAAGAACACTTGGAACATTTCCTCAAGCTGTTACATTAAAGGACAATATAACTGCTATTGTGAACAAGCGTTGTTGAGTCTCATGATCATTTTTATTTTGAAACCAATGTACCTCACGACCTTATACTCTAGTGGCTTCAAAGATAAGATACAATAGCTACAAAGACACTACAGAGGCAGCACAGAGAAAATGGGTTAATGAATAGGAAAGCATCGTTAAATATGCATCACTCTTTTTCAAACAAGAGGGTTTTTTTCTTAGTCATTTAACAATATCATCAGTTATATGAAGTAGTAATGAATAATAAAATAGTGCAAACACTCATCACTTGCAGAAGCAAACAATGATACTAAAAAGACAAAAGTTAATGCTAAAACTCATTCTAATGAGGGATTAGTATTGTTGCAGCTGGTTAAGCCACTTCTTACAATGCTGTCATCCCATATCAGAGTGCCAGTTCAAGTCTTGGCTGCTCCACTTCTGATCTACCTTTTGATCCAGCCTTCCCAGGATGCACAAGGCACTAGCCCCAGAGGACATTCCATATAAATGGAAAAATATAATATAGGGCCTTCAGTGACTGACTTCCTTCAAGGTTCACCCACACTATGTTGCACATACCTTTCTGTGACAAATAGTATTCTATCACATGGAATATCACATACTTTATCCATTCTGCAGTTGGACAACAGTTTCCTTTTTGAATAACATTGCTATGAACAGTTGTGTACAGATGTTTATGTGGATGTATGTTTTCAGCACTCTTAGCAATATACCTAGGAATCGCTGGTGATTTTTTAAGATAAAAGAGGGATAATGGTCATACTGAAACTTTAGCTCATTCTAATGACTGGGAAGATGGGTTTGAAGGTGTCAAGGCTGGAGACGGGGAGACAACTTAAGAAATGGTAATGGAGTGAATAAGGAACAAATCTCAGAGATATTTATGAGATGATTATCAGCAGAATTTGGTGGCAGATCAGTAAAACTGGTACTCACCTCTATGAATGTGACCCAGATTTTCTTGCTTCTGAACCATGGTTCCTATTAAAATCCTTCTTGAATTGTCCTCCCTCTCTAGCACTTGTCTGCTGAAATCTCTCAAGGCCCTTTTGGAATGCTGCCTTTCTGTTTTTAGTGTTTGTTATTTTGTGTATATTTCAAAGCAACTGGCTCTAAAAACTTAGCATACTTTTACATTTCATCTTGTATGTATTTATATGTGTGTGCTTTAGCTTTCCAACTAGACTACAAGCTCCTTTAGGGCAAGTACCACAGCTGATTACAACAGTCATTCAAGGAGGTTGTACAATAAATGAGTGCATGGGTTAGTGGCCTTCTAAAGTAGTATACAATCAGATTCACACAGCCAGATTAAAGCCCTGGTGTATGCTACTCCACAATTATATTTTCTTCTCTCTTCTCCTCTAAGGAACCTAGAGCTTTGAGAGCAAGCCAAAAGCCCTGGATTTATGAACTTTCCAGGTCATGCCTGGACACCACAGCTTTCAAAGAAATCACTTCCTATTTCAACTATCTAATAAACCAGTTATGCTGAGGATGCTTGAATTGTCTTTATCTCCCATTCCAAAAACCCATACCCATCTTAACACAAGCTCACTGCTGATACTTGTCTTCATTTCACACAACCTTTGGAATAGCTCTTTAAACTAGGAATGCCAGATACATAGCATAAATGATTTGGAGCTAATGAAGATAAATGCTTTTTAGGAAGTTAAGTAACAAGTCCACCAACAAGGAAGTCCTTCCTGAAATCCTTCCTGAAATACAGATCAAAATACGGTCCTGGGGACTGGTGCTGTGGTGCTCAAGTAATTGGGTTCTTTCCATCCCTGTGTGAGAACTGGATTATGTTTCAGCCTCCTGGCTATGGCTTTAGTCTAATCCTGGCTTTATGGATATTTGGAGAGTGAATCAGTGGGTAGGAGTGCTCTCTCTCAACTAGAAAAAAAAAAAGGCCATCGAGGGTGTGGTGTGTGTGTACTTTTAGTCTAGAAAAAACATCTTTCTCAATAAAGTTGTTCTTCCGGGCAGGGCAGGAATTTGGTGCCACAATTGAAACGTTTGGGACACTCATATCCCATGTTGGAGTTCTTGAGTTGCAGTTCAGGCACCTCTTCTGCCTCCAGCTTCCTACTAATGTGCACCCTGAAAAGCCACAGTGATGGCTCATTCATATGGAAGACCTGGATTGAGTTCCAGGCTTCTGACTTTAGCCTGGTCAGGATCCAATTGTTGGAGGCATTTAGGAAGTGAGCGAATGAATTTAAAATCTCTCTTGCTCTCACTCTCTGTCCCTGCCTTTTAATGAATGAAAAGAAGTAAGTAATTTTATTCGCTTTACATTATTTTTATGAAAATATTAACAATATTTACAGGGTGGTCCGCATCTAGCTCAGATCCGTACATCAGAACTCTGTTAGCACAATGGTCTAGGTCCGAAGCCTTCTTTGGAAACCAAGGAACACTTTCCATGCCTGAAAAATACAAAAACCAGTAAAGGTAGAAGTGGCTATTTTAAATAAGGCAATAAGCAGATGAAATTAAGAAATAAAAACGTTATATATTAATACAAAATCTAAAAAGTAAATTTTATTCAAAAATTTTAAGCTTTACATTTTTTTCAGTCTTTATCTTAAGTACTTCAGAAACACTGTATGTTAGTTATAAATCAGAAATTAAAAAGTAAACCTATAAGCCATATATTAAACTAGCCTACAAGAGCCGAACAAGGAAGTTATATAAGCATATTTACAGATAAGATGTAAATTTATTAAGAAACCTTGGATTTTTATTATCTCTGATGAAAAGGATCTTGGAAATCATGTATCTTTGTGGCTTTCCTCATTCTGTGAGCCCTCTAAAATCCACGTTTTCACAAATATCGTCCTCTACCTGCAACGCCCATCGTGCCTCCCACTCCACACCCCACCACAGCATTCTGGTTTCCTGAGGACATCCTTCTCATCACTTTCAACCTAAATATCAGGAGCTTTTCCTCATTCCAGCAAGGCTTTCTTGACTCTATAGGAAGAATCCCCAAGCTCTGACTTCCCCATACTCAGGTTTTATTAAGCTAAATTATGATACATCTGCTTGTGTGTCTGTCTCACACAAAACCCTGGAACAATTATAAGGCAGGAACTGAGTTTTTTTTTAAAGTCCCTTAGCTTAGTAGAAATCTTTGGCTCAAATTGGTGTGTACCCTAAATAGCAACAGACGCATTTAGCTGTTCAGAAAACTCCTCATTTTTTAGATAAAGTAGCCAAAATCAAGAAAGGCAATTTATCCAATATAACTAATTTTAAAACTATTTTGCTTATTTTTATTGGAAAGTCATATGTGCAGAGTGGAGAAGAGAAAGAAAGGAAGACCTTCCATCCACTGATTCACTCTCTAAGTGGCCACAACAGCCAGAGCTGAGCTGATAACTGATTTCCAATGGAAAAGAAATGAAGACAAGAATAAAATCCTTCCAGCCCTGTGCGGTAGCCTAGTAGCTAAAGTCCTCACCTGCATACACCAGGATCCCATATTGGCACTAGCTCGTGTCCCAGCAGCCCCACTTCCCATTCAGCCCCCTACTTCCCTGCTTGTAGCCTGGGAAGGTAGTTGAGGACAACTCAAGGCTTAAGGACCCTGCACCCACGTGGGAGACCTGGAGAAAGCTCCTGGCTCCTGGCTCTGCTCAGCACCAGCCATTATGACCACTTGGAGAATGAACCAGATCTTTCTCTCTGTCTGTCCTCTTCTTTGTAACTCTGCCTTTCCAATAAAAATAAATAAATATTTTAAAAAATGAAATCTTTCTTGATCCCATGCAATACACATTCTAATGTACCGAGGTAACAGTAGAGATTTAACAAATGGGACAGGGCCACCAGGCTCCTGCTCGGCTGGTGTTAGTCCTTTAGCTGCCGTTGCTGGGCGTGGCACCCTTGCAGAGCTGCCGGAGCAACGAAATGGGAGAGGAGCCTGGAAGCCATAGATGGTAAATTTCACCTCACAGTTCTAATCAGCTCAATTCTTCCTTCAGCAAATTCAAACATTCAGTTACCACCTGCTACGCCCCAGAGCATTACCAACAGCCCAAAACTGTGAATTGGAGCTTTGTGGAATCAAGAGACACTCAATGATTTGAAAATTAAGGCATAATTTAATCTATTTCTAAATATTCTAAATTCCTTCTTACACTCAAGATTTCCTTTTCACTTCTCCCACACAGGATCAAATGTTATACAGGGTTTTAGGTTTTGTTTTGTTTTGTTTTGTTTTAGTGTTTTGAGCAATTATATTTTGTGGTTTTCTGCTCTTTTTATTACTAGACTATCAGCAATTTGAACGAATTTTATTTTTACACTCATGCCTTCAAACTCAATGCAATTTGGCCATACATCAGATGCTTAATTTTCTAAGTGATACTTTCACTTTCCAAACTTACCATCTTCCTTGATAGTAAAATTATCTGGTGGAGTCACAGAGAGAACATTAGTATGAGACTTCAAAAGGTGAAAAATATCATTCAGTTGTTCCCTGTTGATATCACAGTCAACAAAAATCTCAAACTCTGAGTTTCTTCTCTTGGATTTTCGGGACTCAATATGTAACAGGCTCACATGCTTCTCCTGCAGGAAGAGGAGGGTAAAGAGCGCCTGTGACTGCCTCCACTGTTAGTCATCGGGCAGATTACGTTCATTATTGCTGAATATCAATCTCACAGGTCTTAGTGGCCAAAGCAAAGACAGGCCATGTGGAGCAACAACAAAGTATCTTCCCTCAAATATTAGATACTGTTCAAAAAAGTTTACGAAGTACATCATACTCTCCAGAAGCTAAGATAACACCCACTATAGGTTCTTCAGATTGTCAGAATTAAAGGATATTCAAATAAAAATGTCAAATCCCCTCAATGCCCATGGTCGCCCAGCTACTCAGTGACAGAAAAAGGATTTGAACGCAAGTGGCCTGCCTTTAGAGCTCACACACTATAAACCACAATGGTGTTCTGGTTTCAAAAATCTTAGTGTGAGCAAATAAATCTTTGCATCCTGGAGCTCTTAAACTAGACTAGGTCCTCCAGTTTAGTGCTGTCACTGAACCGATACTTGCCTTTTGGGCCACTTTATTCACATACAATTATTTACTTACAGTAACTATTTGCTTATGCCTCTCTTCCCCAATAGATCATACACTCTCCGAAGGAAGGTCCTGGGTCACACCTTTACATCCTTGGTGTCTAGCACAGCCCCTGGCACGTGCTAAATTCTTAATAAATATACAGGTTCTGTCTGATTCTTTATGATAGTTACAGCAATGAAATTACTGGGTCAGAAAATTTGAGCATTTAAGACCCACAGACACATATTATTAGACAATCTTATAAACACATATTATTACACAGCAATTATATAATTGTTACAGCAATTGAACCTTGCAGTAAAGGTGACTCTGTGGACTAAATGCATTGAAAGCTCTGGCAGTAGGGAAAAGTATAATTGCAGAATTTTTACTACTTTTCCATATAGAAATAATTAAATATAGTATTAATATCAAGTACCAAATATGTCATTGATGATGTGATTATATATATCATTAAATATTTAAATTTTAGGTAATTAAGATGAAATTAAAATTGAGTTCTCTGAGGATCCAGTGCAGTAGCCTAGTGGCTAAAGTCCTCACCTTGGATACTCCAGGATCCCACATGGGCACTGGTTTGTGTCCCAGCATCCCCGCTTCCCATCCAACTCCCTGCTTACGGCCTGGGAAAGCAGTTGAGGATGACCCAAACCCTTGGAACCCTGAACCTATGTGGGAGACCCACAAGGGGCGCCTGGTTCCTGGCTTTGGATTGGCTCAGTATGGCCATTGCAGCCACTTGGGGAGTAAAATAAATCTTTATAAAAAGTTTGGTCTTCTGAAATCACTGAGCAGAATCCTTTCCTGTTTTCTACCTGCCCTTCCATAAATTTTATCTCTTGTCCATTTGTTAGAATTGACCAATATTTTTGAAATTTGCATTCTTGACAGTTTTCTGTAGCCCATCTTTGAAAACCTACAGTAATCTGTGTTTTAAATGCAAACTTTAAGACTTGTTTTCAGAAGAGTTTGTGCACCAATATGCAGAGTGCTTACCTGGAAAATCTTTAGTGCTTTTACAAGCCCTCCAACCTCATTCTTTAAGGAAAAGATAAGAGTTGCTCTTCCTCTTTCGAGAGAATGGTCTTTGTTCTCTTTATTGTCTTCAATCATGATGACTTTGGAATAATTCTCTAAAACTGATGTATGAGATTATAGATGGTATGCTAAAAAACATGTACAATGCAGATAATATTTAATAATCAAGGACATGCTGATCTCTCCAAACTGCACTTTCCTGAAAGGTTAAAATTTTGATAAATGAAAATACAAAATTTGATAGATAAGCCTTGCATGACTATAATGAGACTAAATAACACATTGCCTGACTTCATGCCTAGAACAGGCAAACATGTTTACAGCTTCCTCTCCTTCTTTTTCTAACCTCTTAATAGCAGTGAATGCTCCTCACATACTTTAGTCGCATGGTAGAGTTGAGCTCAGGGTGTCTGCAATGACCAGCTCCTCTCTCGCCTTTGTTTAATCAGTAAGGAAACTGACTTAAGTTTATCTGACCCGGAAGCACAAAACGCTGTCAAGTTCAGCCTCTGAAAGCATGCTTCCTAAAGATAGAACCAAACTGCAAGAAAAACTGGTTCACAGGGACAGAATCTTCTAAAGAATCTTGATTTTTTTTTTTTTTTTTTGCATTACAGGATGGGGGATGGGGAGGGGATAAGAATAAAAATATAACTGGAGAAGAGGCCCCAGCACCATGGCCTAGCGGCTAAAGTCCTTGCCTTGAACGCACTGGGATCCCATGTGGGCACCAGTTCTAATCCCGGCAGCTCCACTTCCCATCCAGCTCCCTGCTTGAGGCCTGGGAAAGCAGTCAAGGACGGCCCAAAGCCTTGGGATCCTGCACCCGTGTGGAAAACTCAGAAAAGCGCCTGGCTTCTGACTTCGGATTGGCACAGCACTAGCCATTGCAGTCACTTGGGGAGTGAATCATTGGTTGGAAGATCTTCCTCTCTTTCTCTCCGCCTCTCTGTATATCTGACTTTGCAATAAAAATGACATAAATCTTAAAAAAAAATGGAGCTGAAACAAACAAGAAAAAACAATGCTCATGAAAAACAGTATTTTAGAAACAAAAACCATAGCAAAGAAAATAGAAATGGAAAACACATCCCTAACCAGAAGATAATCTACTGATGACAATAATCCATCCATAAATGAACTCTGGTGATAAAATTCATGAACTACAGAAATCATGTTTATGGCCCAGTGCAGTGGTTCAATTGGGTAATACTCCCCCTCCAAGCACAAGGATTCCATGTGGGTGCCAATTTGTGTCCTGGCCGCTCCACTTCCCAGGCACAAACTTTCACTAGATTAGAAAGTTCAACCACGGGGGAAGAGGCTGTGGCATAGCACATAAAACCACTGCTGCCTGCAACACCAGCTTTTTCCCTTTTCCTTCTCCTCCTCCCCCTCTTCTTCCTCCTCTTCCCTCTCCTCCTCCTATTTCTTCTTTTCTCTCTCTCTCTTCTCTTCTTCTCTCTCTCCCCCCTCTTTTACTTACTCTCCTTCCCTGTAACCTGGTCTTTCCTTCCCTCAGGCATCTAGAGTAGAACATCACTGTATTCATTTTAAACCTCTGACAAATCCATTACAGGCAAGGCTAAACTTACCAGGACCATTAAGCGCATCTGAACAAGGACCTGTTGCCTCCTGTCCACTGCAACCCTGCAGCAAGCACTCAGTCCCTCTGCTGGGGGTGAAGGGGAAGGTGTGATGCTAAGAGGCTTTGTGTCTGAGACTCCCTTTTCTTGAGGGTTTCTCTTATGGAGGGAAAATAGAGGACCAAAAAAGAGGTGGCCCTTTAATGACGAGGAAAGAAGAATGCCTGTTCCTGTTAATGTGAGGAGCTTTTCAGAATTGAATTCCACTCTGTACCGGTTTCTTCTGAGGTCAAATCAAAGAAATATTTCCTTCACAGAGTTCGTTGTAAAAATAAAATCAGATGACATATAAAGAGCCAATTTCTGGCGCACAGGATACTCACCAGGATAGTGTCTTTTCTCCTCTAAAGAGTACAGGTGGGAAAGAAAAGTGAACGCCCACGGAGGTGCAACTGCAGCCCCTCAGATCTGGCTCCTCGCCAGCATTTACCTCCCAGGAAGAGGTCGCTGCCACCGCCAGGGCAGAGTGCCTCAAATTCTCCAAAGTGCCTGGTGCGAGGCGCCCCGTGTTTCCACTCAGCTCGGATTCTGCTAGCGGGGATCCCACTGCCCGCTGCCTAGTACGCCAGTCTCTTAAAGAAGCCGGCATCAGGGCGGGCCAATAGACGCCCACGGCAGCTGGCAAGTGGCCAACGAGAAGGCAGAAGCGACAGGAGCGAGGTTAGAGGGTTCAGCGACAGCTCCCAGCTGGCTTCCGCCAGGTGATGACACAGCCGCCAGATTGCACTGGGAGATGCACACGCCTTATCTGGTGTTTTCATTAAGCTAATGTTAGGTCATCCTTAACTTCACTTCAGATCCAGTGTTGGAAATTCCCTCTAAGCCAGCATAGCATTTGTGATTTACCTGCTGTGGGTTTGCATTGCTGCCTCCCCTCCCCACCAGGATGGGAAAGATATCTTGAAGGTTGTGGGTCTCAGGATCCCTGTGGATGCCAAAATCCAAGGATGCTCACGACCCCAGGGAAATGGCCTGGAACAACCATGCACAACCGTGCACAACCTTCTATATGCTTTAAATCAAATCTAGATTACCTAGAGATTATTGCCTATTACCTAGATGTTATCTAAAATTGTTACTTATCATACAATGAATATGCTATGGAAATAGTTACCAGACTGCATTGTCTGGGAAATGATGGCAAAAACAGAGTCTGTACATGCTCAGCACAGGTGCAATTTTTTCCCACGTATTTACAGGTGCTGCTGGGCAGAATCCCCACAGGTGGAGTCCACGCCTATGAACATTTGACTACATATCTCACAGAATCTGCTGGGCATTCTTTTCTCCAGTTTTGGAAAAGTCAGGTTTGTTGATGTATAATTCACACAGAGTGATACTCAGCCTTCTGAGGTGTATAATCTGTGAGTTTTGACAGCATAGAGTACATAACCACCACATAATCAAAATACATCACATTTCCATCACCCAAATACATTTCCTTGACTCAGCCATCCCACAGATGGCCCCTGGCAAGCACTGGTCCAGGATTTCAAACTTGTCCCTACATTTTTTACTTTCCTGGAATGTTATAAAAATGATAACATACAGTCTGTATGGATTTTCGTCCTTGCCAAGGATCCCAAGGACTTCCCTGTTAGGGCTTGTGGCACTTTCTCTAATACTTTTGAGCTACCTGCAATGCTTATCAGCAGTTTGTTCCTCTGGGCTGAACATAGAGGTACAATAAAAGCAGGACACTGAAAGCTTCCACATGCATTTTTCTTTTATTTATTCTAACTCTAAGAGGCAAATATTCGTTTTTAGTACACAGATAAGGAAACTGAGGCACAGAGTGGCTCTGGGGCCCTCTTCCGTCACAGGTTGGTAAGAAGAATCATAAACCCAGCCAAAGCATTCTGACTTTAAATCCAGTATCTTCATGGCAATATCATGCAAAGCCAGTCGCTGATTATATCACTTATAAATTAACCAAGCGCCTCTTCTAAAATTATTTATTTATTTATTTAAAAGGTAGATTTTCGTTGAAAGAGAAATAGAATTCTTCCATTTGCTCATTCATTCCCCAGATGGCCACAACATCCAGGACTGGGCTAAGCTGGCATCCAGGAGCTTCATGTGGGTTTCCCAAATGTCATATTAACACTATGATTTTTTATTTTCATATACTTAATTTTTTATTTTTATGTACTTAAATATTTTCAAAGATTCATTTATTTATTTGAACATCAGAATTAAAGAGACAGAGAGGGAGAGATAGAGAAAGAAAGAAATCTGTCCTCTGGTTTACTTCCCTAATTGCCACAACAGTGGGGGCTAGACCAGGGTAAAGCCAGGAGCCAAAAGTCAGAAGCTCCAACTAGGTCTCCCATGGGTGCAGGGGCCCAAAGACTTGGACCATTTTCCACTGCTTTCGCAGAAGCATGAGCAGGGAGTTGGATCAGAAATGAAGAGCCAGGACTGGATCTGGGATGCCAGTGTTGCTTGCAGTAGTTTAACCTGATGAGTCACAATGCTGACCCCTGATTATTTGTCTTGACTAACACTGTTCCCAGTTTATTGGGGGAACTGTAGTGGACATTACTATTTTTGGTGCTCTACATCTATTTCCTCTTGCATTAACAGAACCCTGATTAACAGAACCTCATTATCTCAACCCATTTCTTTCTTCTTAATTTGAAAGATTTACATAGAGAGGAGAGATCCTCCATCTGCTGGTCCACTCCCCAAATGGCCACAATGGCTAGAGCTGGGCTGCTCAGAAGCCAGGAGTCAGGAGTGTTTTCTAGGTCTTCCAAATGGATGCAGGGGCCCAACAACTTGGACCATCTTTTGTTGATTTCCCAAGAGTCTTAACAGGGAACTGAACTAGAAGAGGAACAGCAGGGACTTGAATAAACTGCTCATATGTGAGATACCGGCACTTCAGGAGGGTCTAAGCCTGATATGCCTTGGTACCAGCTACTCAACCCATTTCTTTGGTTGAACTTGAATCTGTTCCTTCTCTCCTCTGCCAGTTTTAGGACCATCACACCAGTCTAGGCTGGCTTATCAGAGGATTGTAAGCCTTTTGCAACATGGTTTCGGTGATGGGCACAGGATATAGTTTAGGTCAGTGAGAATCAGGCATAAGATTTTGGTTTGCCATTCAGATGATGAGACATTTTCTTGGCTGTTACTGACTGAAAAATTAGAGGCTGAAACTGATGGAAGTCACCAGTGTAATAAGGAGAACACTACGAAAAGACGAGGAGTTTGGAGACTCCAGCGGCATGAGTTTGGAAATCTGGATCCAGTTAGATCTGAATTTGATCCCTTTTTATTAAACTGTAAGTTTCTGACCCACTGGGCCCGGCGGCGTGGCCTAGCAGCTAAAGTCCTTGCCTTGAATACTCCGGGATCCCATGTGGGCGCCAGTTCTAATCCCCGCAGCTCCACTTCCCATCCAGCTCCCTGCTTGTGGCCTGGGAAAGCAGTCCAGGACGGCCCAA